TTAATACTTTATTTTCATAGTATTTCTCTTTTGAATGTATGAGGGTGTGGATAGTGGTTTACAAAATAGAGAATAATGGGCAAAAAATATAAAGAATAGAGAAAAATGGACCAAAAAGATAAAGAATAGAGAATAATGCGGTACTAAAAAACGAGGTACTAAAATATAAAGAATAGAGAATAATGGACAAAAAGTATAAAGAATAGAGAAAAATGCCCTAAAAAATTAAAGAATACAGAAATGTGTAAAGCAAAATATTGTCCTATGAAATATTGTTCTCAAACACAATATTTCATGACTATGTATCATGACATATTGTCCCCATCTATCAAAAAATGTCTAGAGAAGGACTTTTAGCTTTTAGATTAGTTATGTTTTGACATTTTAACATTTTGATCTTTTTAAATTTCTAGGATTTATTGCTCGTGCATAACAACACGGACTTATCCGGCTCGAAATTCCACTTCCACCTCCTCGTTGGTGAGCAGGGGACTTAGACTAACGGAAGGGGTACTTGTACTTGAAAATAATTGAACAAATCATTAAAGAAATAAGTATTATTACCTGTATTTACCAGTATTTACCTGAGTTTACCTGTCAAAAAATTGCGCTCAAATGTAATCAAAAGCTGCGCGCAAACGTAATGATTTTTGCGCGCAAATGTAATGGTAATCAGTGCGCGCAAACGTAATGCACCGATGATTAATATATTGAGACAATATTTCATGAACGGATTGTCATGAAATTTTGTCTCATAAAAGGGATGTTATAAACATATAATATTTTGGATAATGATTTCATTAAAGTGTTTTATTTGATTGGTAATAACAACATAATGTATTCCAAATGTTAGTGATAAGAAATACAAAAGATATTACACAAAAACTTTTGATCCATAAAGATAAACTTGAAAAAGTTATGTATTTATGTCATATGGAAAGAGGTGGACATTTAGGAATAAACAAAACCGCGTGAAAGGTACAATGTAGCATCAGAGTATATTTTCCATGCTATAAACGAGAAAGTGAAAGCACACATTAAGAAATGTGAAGAATGTCAAAAACAAAATAAAAATGTATGTTTATAAACATACTTTCATGTTATATTAAAAAAAAAAAAAAAAAAAATCAGAAACACTCCCAATTTCATGGCAGAGGATTTCTCAGGTAAGACATAATTTGATTAAGAAATATTTTCATGGACAGTATTTCACTGTGAAATATTGTCCTGAAAAAGGTGACAAAATTTTAAGGACAAGGACACAATTTCACAATGAAATATTGTCCTGGAACTACCGGATATTGGCCATTTAAATAAAGTATGTAATTTTCAACATATCTGCCCTCCAACTTATTTGTATGTTCCCCTTTTTAATCTAAAGTTTAACATAAACTTACAAAACAAAATGATACTGTCAATTCTGTCATCTTTGGTAGAAATATCCCCCCTTTTAAAACAAAAAAAAATAAAATTATATGGTAGTGGTTCTCAGAAATTTCTGATTAAGAAAAAAAAAGAGGTTTTTCATTGCATTTGCATCAAATAAAAATTCGAATAAATTGGAGATAAGATATTTTAAGAATTGTTATGTTGTAATGGATATATCGGTTCTCAGAAATTATTTGGTGTTGCCAACATAGCTTAACATTTGCCGACTGGGACGGCAAAAAGTCTTGAATTACTGTATGCAACATAGCGTACATTTGCACTTCATGAAAAAAGAAAATCTCTAGTACAATGAAAGAACTTACTCGAATAGCCAGTGTACACATGTACAATTGATTCATATATATACACAATCAATTTAATAAAAACAAGTTCCAGAATTCAGACCAGCACCACATGAATGTGCAACTGAGTCAGTATACAATCAATGAAATTAAAACAGATGCTTAGAAAATCGGAATAAAACCATTAATTGTACATACCGATATATCCATTACAACATAACAATTCTTAAAATATCTTATCTCCAACTTATTCGAATTTTTAGTTGATGCAAATGCAATGAAAAGCCTCCTTTTTTTCTTAATCAGAAACACGCGGGAAATTTTATGCCAATGATTAAAACTGTATATATGCTCTAAGAAAAAGATGGGTATTATTCATATGTATAGTTTGATATGTATAAACAGGAAAGAGGCAAACTTTGATGAAACAAGAGATTTCTTGATGTTCAAACCGTATTCTGATGAAAAAACATTCCAGCTTATTACTGCAGCATGTAAAGTTAGCGGTAAGTATGTGTATATTGCTAAACAAATTAGATAAATATAAAAATAAGAAGATGTGGCATGATTGCCAATGAGACAACTCTCTACAAGGGAACAAATGACACAGAAATTAGCAACTATAGGTCAACGTACGGCCTTCAACAATGAGTAAACCCATACCGCATAGTCAGCTATAAAAGGCCCCGAAATGACAAATGTAAAACAATTCAAATGAAAAAAGCTAACGGCCTGATCTATGTACAAAATAATGAACGAAAAAAAAAAAAAGTGTATGCTCCAGACTTGGGGCAGGCACATACAAAGCTTGCTCAAGATTTTTTTTTAAAGATGCACTTGCTTAAATTTTGACCTATCTCTTGGAGGCGATACGTTATACGCGTGTATCCCGCGTGACGTACTTTGGAATACCACAGTCCGATTTTGATTTAGATTAATGTCTAAATTGTCGATTGTTAGTAATAGTTGTATTATAAAAAGGGGGTTCCGATTCGTAGGTAGTTAATAAGACAATCTGATTGTTTAATTGTCGTGAGGTTTCATTGTAGAAAGCTCCATTTTGATTTTGAACATAGTGCTTTTCCTTTTTTACGACAAAAGATACGTATTTGACACGATAAAAAAAATGTTCGTAATATATGATTTCAATTGTAGAAAGATTCCCTATGACTTTGATTATTGTCTGAAATATTGTTATGGAACTTTTATTAAGGAAAAATGGAGTCAATTTCCATATTTTATTTAGTAACTAAAGTGTATTTATCATGCAGGTTTACCACTCGAAACTGTACTTGAAGTGTTTGGACAATGCTGGCTCAAATTTTGTATGGACAATGGTTACGAGGAAATGCTACGGACTCTTGGTGGGGATTTTATATCGTTTGTTCAAAACCTCGATGCTTTACATGCTCATTTATCGAGAACATACACGAAGCTGGAGTATCCTTCCTTTAGGTTAGTAAAAGACACAGTTTTGCATAATATATCTCCTTCTTTCTATGTACAAATTAGATGTAGTATGGTTGTCAATGAGACAACTACCACTAGTGTCCACATGATGTGGATGTAAGCATCTGAATAACACCGTAACTATGACAAAGTCATGTGGATGTAAGCAACCGAATAACGCCGTATGGCATTCAACAATGATAGCTCTCTTTGTCAATAAATAAAGCAAACAAATACAAAATAAAAAAATTCTATGTAAATATCTGTTTAGCTTCTGAAATTAATTCTCCCCACAAAATAGTTTTTTACGCTTACGTGGCGTAAAGCAAACATCAAGCAATCAATCAACCAATCTGAATCGGACATCTTTATGCAAATATAAAATCCATCCACATTTTCTATTAACAACACTTACATGAAGCCGACATGTCCATTTTTTAAAATGATATAAAAGTATAATACTGACCTTAGTGCGTATGATCTGTGCTTTATATTAGCCTTCAGATACACTGGAGATTATAAGTTAGGAGAACAAATAACGCTGACAGTATATAAAACAATTTTTTTGCATAAAAAAACTAGGGAGACATAACCTTGTCAGTCTGTTTACTCTGTCTGATAGAGTTGCATCACTAAAAAAATATCGACGCAATGTCTGGTTTCAAGAATAAACATGTTTTTCGTTTATTGATTTGTACATGATAGTTCAGTCTGTTAGTTTTCTCGTTTGAATTGTTTTGCATTTGTAATTTCGGGTCCGTTTACATCTTGTTATGCGATACTGGGTGTGCTCATTGTTGAAGGTCGTGAAGACCTAAAGTTGCTAACTTCAATGTCATTTAGTATCTGGTAGACAGATGTCTCATTGGCAATCATACCACATCTTCTTATTTTTGTAATGTCGACTCCAGTATCTATATACAGCAATTAATGTACCAGTGACAAATAAACTAATGTGATATTCACCGCTTTTCTACATGCAACTATCTGCCTCTGAATTATATCGCGAAACTGTCTTCTTTTAAAAGATGATGTTAATGCTAAAAAAATATTTCATGCTTAATTTGAACAGATTATATAGAGAATCGATTTGATAACAAATGGCGAATATAATTTTTGAAACAGTCCATATAAAACGACCAATCGACAGTTTTAAACCAATTAATCTAACTTCTATAGACTGAAAACTGAGAAAGGTTTATGTACTTTTCCACATATCGAACAATTATCATTTTCCTCTCATTCATTAGATGTGAAACAAACAATGACGGAACACTGACCCTTCATTATTATTCGAAGCGATCAGGACTGTATTACATAGTACTAGGTGAGTTTCCTAAGTGAGTGCATTCATGTTCATAGGAAATGTATAGTCATTCTATTGTTAAATGCTTTTTAGATTTCGTCGAGAACAGCCAATGATTTTCTGAGAAAAAAAGTTTTACTTTATAATGCATTCATCTACATGAGAGATTATTATTATATTCAATAGATTAGTATTATGTCCGAGGTATTTATGATATTAGAAATAGTAGATCGATTATAGTGTAACTTGCTACTAGACACAGTTTAAATAAGCGAGAGCTAAATACTCTGCATAACCTTCTAATAAGTAATGATAATTAAAAATTAATCAAACACAACAAATAGTTCACTACGTGATAAATTTATTTTTCAAAATATATTATACACTCCAAATAGAATCAATTTAAAATTCTTTAGTCCACTTACGAAGTGTACAGTGGAGCAGGTTTTCTGAAAACAAATGCGCAATTACGGAATCAATTACCAATAGCCTGGAATCGGTAAAAAATAAATTAAAAGATAAGGACTCCAGGAATACAATAAACCTTTAAAAAGGGAATTTATGAAATATAAAGTTTTACTCATTTTGGTTACTCATTGGGTTAACTGATGCTGGATTGAAATTAGTATGAATAAAATGAGATTGAAGGTAATATGCATGTTTTGCTCATTGTTGAAGGTCGTACGGTGACAAATAGTTGTTAACTTCTCTGTCCTTTTGTCTGATGGAGAGTTGTCTTATTGGCAATCATACCACATCTTCTTATTTTTATATGTATTGCTATACGTTAAGCCATGTTGTATATAATACTGTTACTATTTATTTTGTTAGGAGTAATCCCTACAATAGCTAGTGTCTTGTACAATCAGAAGGCATCAATATCTGTTGACAGTGTAATAAAGCAAGATATAGAGAATGGAATTCTTGACGACCATGTAACATTTACTGTCAAACTGTCAAAGAATGATGGCAACACCATTGAAAACAACAAAGAAGATGGCAACATAATTGAACATAACAAAGAACTTGTCTGTATCAAACCAACGTTCCCTAAGCAAACAATAGTTCAAGCTAAACATTTTTGTAACATATTTCCATACCATCTGATTTTTGACGACAACTTCGTTATTAAGCAATGTGGTTCAATGATACAAATCCTCCTGAAAACAAAGATGGAGAGAGGATCCAGTTTAACGTCATTATTTGAACTAACTTATCCCAGAGTCGATTTCACCCTATCCAATTTGATGGCATTCATCAATAGTGCATTCATGATGACATCTGTAAAGAAAAGAAACGGACACAGTCTAGTTCTTAAAGGTAGGCACAAATACAAAGGGAAAGAAATTTGCTACATAAAGAAAATGAAAACATCTATGTCATTTATGTAGAACTATCATTCCTAATACATTAAATTTAATTTGACAACAAAAATAATAAACTGATTTATCTATAATTCCATATTGTGTAAAGAAGCTTACATTTTTTTAATACGGCATATATATTAATTAATTACACTAAATCTTAGTATTTATGATGAGTTTATCTAACTATAATACTATTGTTTTTAGGTCAAATGCGATGGATGCCAGATATAAACCACATGATATATATCAGCTCACCGTGTATATCAAGTCTTCAGGAACTGAAGGCGATGGACCTGTACATATCTGATATACCATTGTATGACGTCACAAGAGAACTGATATTGCTAAACCAACAACGAATGGCTGAAATGGAAATAGCGTATTTAGATTTTTTATAAGTATAAAAAAAACCCAGCCCGAGTCAGATGTTAAAAACAAATAATGATGAATATAAAGTATAAACTATTCTTGCTTTTCGAAGCATACATAATCTAACTGTAATATGCCATTTTATAATGCAAATATCAAGTAATGATATATTTTCACCTACATGTGCTCAATATGTTATACTAAAGAAAAAAATATATCACTAGGTACTGTCTTTAACAGGTAGAAGAATATTCCAATATTCATAGGAAAATTATAAATAAAATTGATCGCTTGAGTCTTATAAAAACAAATGGATTACAACAGTATTATGGAGCGCAAAAAGAAATTCCAATCACTGGATCTACATTTGTAATTACTTGAAATGATTTACTCTAGCTTTCCAGCCTTTACATGATGTAATTTTCATAGTCTTACTAGGAATAAATCTTATATTTTACAAATTATATACTGAAAAAAGTTAGTGGTAAATGCGCTATGGTAGAGAAGCACAGTAAACGGTTTAAAAGTCGGGTATAACTATCTACAAATACACCGTTAAATGTTATGTGTACGAAAGATAAGATATATTCCATCATAGTAGAACTTGACAGAATACATTTTTAAATATTCCGATTACGTGAGGTAATGTTTATGTTCATAATTCTAACTGATCCATGCTTCCAGTTCAACAACACAAAATTCCACAGAATTCCGCATTTTCCTTTTGTTATCAAGGATTTATAGTGTAAATCCATAATGTTATGGTGTGGTAACGAATAAAGATGCTGACTATGTGTTATGCAATGAATTTAAATGCGTGATAATTTGTTTGCATGTGAAGTTAATTTGTACAATTTCAGAGGACGTTTTCGCTGAAAGTAGAGACAGGAAGTCAATGATTTAAAGAAAATATAGTGAAGTAAAAATCAAATAAATTTGTGCAATTGGCGCAGTTGTATGCCAGTTTTAAGCGCAAATAAAACCAATAATTTACATAATGAAGTAGCACAAAAGTAGCATTGTCGCAAAAAAATTGTAGCGCATATGAACGCATTTTTGGCGCAAGCCAAACGGATACCGCCCTCTTTACCTTCACGATGCAGTTATTTTCGTAAAGGTTTTTGTCATATTAACCCTCAAGATGTAATATATGATTTCTTTCAAAATGAATGCGATTAAACTATACATGTTTGCATTCGAAATGAATTATTGGTTATAACTTTTACAATACACGTTTTTTCTTTTAAAGATTAAAAACCCGTAAAATGACCACTTTCTATTTTAATGCCAACGAAAACTCCTTTTATAAAAACTGACAAGAAGCTGGATTAATTTGTGTGTATGTGTCAAATATCAATACGCTTTCTATTGAATTTGCAATATGCGTTTATATCTATATATTTCGTGATTTTATTAAAGAAAAAAACTCGACGAGACAACTGCAGATTTAACAAAAATGTCAAAAGCTCTCGAAATTGAAAAGAAGAAGACTGATGAATTATTACATGAAATGTTGCCAACCAAAGTTGCTACCGAGTTATTAGCTGGTAGAACCGTAGACGCAGGTATGATAATTTATTGCTTCTCATCACTCTTAAGATCCGATACTCTGTTACTAGAGTTCTTTAAAATAGGAACAACACAAGCAATAACTAGAATTATGAATGAAGAAAAACAATAGAAATTTAAGAATCTTTCTTCTTTATATCAAAATTTGAACAGAGCCTTAAAACTATTAAATACTGTTATAATATTAAACTTGTGAAATATACTTAATAAAATTAAGGAGATGTGGAATGATTGCTAATGAGAAAATTATTCATAAAGGTTGTAGAGTTTTATAGTTTAGTACTAAAAATTTAGATCGGCACAAATCATTTCTGTCAGCACTATTTTCTCACATTCAGTGAAAATATTGTAATTCGCCTAAAACTGGTTCTTTTTTATTTTTACTCCTGTTGTTGGAAATGCCTTTCATGTTGCATTTGAAGGTGTGCACAGTCTATTGGTGTTAGTAAACTTGCCAAAGCCGCAGCGCTTTTGAAATCTTGTCAATATTATTCTTAGATGTAAGCTTTACAGACACTATTGAACAATGGGTTTGAATTAAAAAAGGGAAAGAATATACCAAGGGGAAAATCATAAACACTAGTCGTATAAAACAGACAAGACCATGTAAAAATAAAAACCACTAAAACACAACGATCCACAAAAAAAAAATCGAAGATGAACTCAGGTGTTCTGGTTTTGTATTTCCTGATCCACTAGTGACACCCTCGTTTTACTTTTATTTGACAAATACATTGATTATTATTAACAAGTGATTATACAGCATATAATAGATGATTGACGAATATCTCTTGTCTAAATCCAAGTCAGCACATTTATAAACCATCGGCACAAGTTAATTTTCTAATCTGAAACCTTACTGAAAATGAATACACGGTTTTGAGGACAATATAAACATAAGAAGATGTGGTATGATTGCCAATGACCAATTTTACACCAGAGACCAAATGACGTTGGAGTTAGCAACTATAGGTCACCATACGGCTTTAAATAACGACCAAAAGCCATAACGCATAGTAAGCTATAAAAGGCACCGAAATGACAAATGAACAATTCAAACGAGAATACTTAATGCCTGAGTAGTGTACAAAACAACAAACGACAACCACTGAATGGCAGGCTCCTGACTAGGGACAGGCATATAAAGAACATAGCGGTGTTAAGCATGTTTGCGGGTGCCTAACCCTTCCCTAACCTAGGTCAGTGGTCAGATCGATACAAAGCACAAAAACAACTAATAAAAAAAACAAAAAGTAAAATGAACCTCTATCTGAGATTACTCATAGTAACTGGAAGCTAATAACAACTGACTAAAAAATCATTCTATCTGTGCACATCCAACATCCTATGGATTTAGTGTCATTAACAGTCGGAGAAAAAACATGACCTTGTGCAATGCCAAAATATAGGTATCAAAAGATTGCAGAACCATAAATGTACATATGTATATAACATATATAACACTAATATTTAGGTTCGTTTTAATTTACTGATAAAAAAATCAGTTTTCATATCGATAAAAAAAATTTAAGATCTAATTGCAGTGAAGAATTGCAAGACTGTTACCTAAAGAAACAATATACAAATAATATGATATGTAGAACCTTTAAACCCAAATAGTGCCTATCTAAACATTTGATTGATAGCAAATTTTTTTTTTAATTTATAACTTAGATTGTGTGTAAAATAAAACTAGTTTACAATACTATTGACAAAACAAAATCAAGGAATGAAAAATAAAAAAAAAATAAAATGAGCAGATGTGGTATGATTGCCAATGAGATATTTACGTATATATGACAACAAAACCAGTAAACGAACGTCTGTTAAACGGGTAGATTATCTTATTCTTAAACAAATTTTACATATTTTTAACTGAAAATATAACGAAGTAATATCATGCAAGTTAAACAGCACTGAATATCCAACTGGGGATTCTCTCGTGGTGTCGCAATCCACAAACAGTAGTACTGTAACACGTCATTATAAACACCGAAATAAATTTGAAATTAGATGTGCCGTAAGGGCAAATGTTTATATAACACATTTATTTTATTTTCAGAAAAATTTGAAAACGTAACTATCCTGTTTAGTGACATAGTGACTTTCACCAATATAGCTTCTGCGTGTACGCCAATGGACATTGTTAATCTTCTCAACAATTTATATCAGAGGTTTGATAACCTAACAACTGTACATAATGTGTATAAGGTAAGGCACCAGAGTTTAGAATTAATAGTCATTTACAAAAGTAATAAGTGGGATATAAAAATATGCAAAAGACAAAAGTTGTATCAAGAGATGTGAAGGCGGCGCTTTACAGAAGGTTTGGCACTGATCACGAGGCTGTCTTAGTCACTATATATTTGTCTTTAGTTATATATGTGATGCAATGTTTTTATGATTTAGTCCTTTAGTAATTCTTAATTGATAGAAATACATAGACACATTTCTATGTTGATGACCGTCTGTTGACGTCTAGATATATATATTTCTTTGGATTATTCCTTTTAATAATTCCAAAATATTATTTTATGAGAACTAGTACATAAGACTACGAGCGAAAAAACACTACTTTCACAGCAACATTCAAAACAAAATTGAAGAAAACACGTAAAACCACATTACACTCTTATTTCAGTTACTGTAAAAAAAAATTCAAGAATTTGACTAAGTTGAAGGCCGTACGGTGGCTTATATAGTTCTTAACTTCTACGTAATTTGGTCTCTGGTGGATAATTTCTCGTTCGCAATAATACAACTTCTTTTTATTTTTATAACACATTAATGTAGTAAATAAGGAAACTCTATAAATGCATACTCAATATATAGCTGTTTTAGTCTTATTTTTCATGCATATTGTTAATTAATTTGACTCCATGTTTCGTTTTTAACCCTGTCAATTACTGGTATTATTAATATATCTAAAGGTTGAAACTATAGGCGATGCATATATGGTTGTAAGTGGTGTACCCACCAGAACAACTACACATGCAGAAAATGTTGCCAATTTCTCTCTTGACATGGTCAACGAAGCAGGCAAAGTACAGTCTCCCGCTACAGGACAGTCCATTCAGGTATTTTATTATTAACGATCTTAGACAATTGCATCTAAAATGCATAACTTAAAAAAAAAAACATTATTTTTTGTGTTTGTTTTCCGGGGTTATTAGTCTTCAACCTCTTTTGAAGTTTTTGATATGACCACAAATCTAAAATTTTTTTTGTGCAAGACGAATCTTTCATTATGAGGAATTACTACTTGTATTCAAAATGCAGTTAAGCTACCGGTCTTGTAAAATCCTCGCAGACAGTACTGCACGCAAGCAAAGATTCCGACAGGGTGGTTATAAATTTAGACAATAGTAGTTTACTAATGTTCAAATCTTATCATTTTCTGTTATTCAACATGCACTAAAGCTACTATCTGGGGTAAAACAAGTTTCAATAGATGCTTGTACATGCAGAAGATGCTTTTGAAATTAACTATCACAGAATATGTAAACAGGATTGTAGTTGCACAGCTGCCGCCGTCAATTGGGTATCAGTTTCAGTGGCAACGCGAAGTTCTCCTTAAATATCATGTCTAATCAAAGGCCCAATTGAAACAGAAAAATGTACAGCGCTCAAGGAAACGATGCATGTTTACAAGATAACTGTTCTAGATTTTGTCCTTCCTGATTCATTGTATAAGCTATTTGTAGATCCGGGTTGGATTCCATAGTGGATCAGTTGTCGCAGGTGTTGTTGGGCTGAAGATGCCACGCTATTGCTTGTTTGGCGATACTGTCAACACTTCGTCCAGGATGGAAAGTCATGGTATACCAGCTAGGGTTCATGCAAGTCCACAGTCTGCAAAGTAATTATAGTTCAAATTAATTTATACTTTTGCTTCTTTTCACCTCTTTCATGTTTTGCAGCACCTGATTTTAGGTGTCCTTTAAAGATTTCAAAGAAGCAAATTATCACTTTTATGCTACACATTAATTCTTTAAAATGCAATATTCTTTCTAGTCAAATTTAAGTTTTGAACCAAAGTTTGTAAGTTATTGTAGATAATGCTGTTTCTCATATATTTCAAATCAAATTTGAAATTAACACAGTGATAAGGATCATTGAATAGGCCCAAATTATACAAACCTTTCCTTAAAATACATGATTTCTATATGAGCCAAATTTCTGCGTCCTGAATATGCGTTTTATTTGCCACTGGTCGTAAAATAGCCACCCATCACTATTAGCCAATATTATGATACTGTGCACAATTTTAATACGAAATTATTTATATATATCTTTATGTAACACTTAGATGTTTTTACCACTTAACATAGATGGTCGGTCTAAGCCAAGATTGACACAGTCCTTCGAACTGTTTGATTTGAACATCACTGATTAGTGTTTAAATGCTTGCTCACGAATTAAATTATAAGCATGGTATCTCGAGTGTTTGTTTAGTATCGTATTACAGAAGCTTCGTTTTTGTTGTATGTGATGTAGATAGTATTTCTCTTATTGGAAGTTTTTCTCGGTATGGTTTAGTTTTTCATCGAGAAAGATAAAGGGAAGGGAAAGACAGGAGAAAAAAGAAAGAAAACAAGTTATATAGGCAAAAGTTGATATACATGTCCAAAGAAGGATAAACAGTGCTTGTCTTGAGAACAAATCTTGTCATAAAGTATTGACACTTTTCTATTTGAAAATTTCCAAGGGGATTTGATATTCAAAAGTCACACTCATTATCTAAATGTCCCATATGTGCTCTTAACGGAAAGGGACATGCCTTGTCTTCAAAAGTTTAAAGACGCAATGATAATTTAGACAAGCATTAATCATATGTTTCATTTGTTCTGGTCACAAAACCTTCCATCATTTCGCTATTTGTGGATTACATGTATCATTGAATGTGGTAATCAAATTTTCACTTGCCATAAGCAACACGGTGATTATTTACTAGTGAAACTGCTCACCCCTAATAAGAACTGAAGTTTATCCTGTTTTTATGGGGTTTGTAATGTTTCATTATTTTCTATTTTGTAGAATGTTATTTGATGCTTTGTTCTTTTTCTTTTGGCCATGCTGTCTATCATCTGTACTTTAATCATAACTTTGTTTGCCCTTTAAAGGTTTTCGATACTGTAAGATCATAAATTTCTCCTAGATATATAGAACCAAATGGTGATTAGGGAATAGAAATATTATCACTTTTGATCTTCTTCCGATCGCAGTAAAATCCTTGCAAATTGGGATGCCCGTTTCTTGTAGTCACGTCCGCTCAAAGTTCTTTGTTTAGAGATAGTGCCACGTATCAGGCAATAATGTCAAACAACAATTTTCTAAATCACAAGGTAATGTTTAGATGCTTGACATTTTACGATAAAATCAGATAGAAAATTCAGATATCGTCAGTCTTTCAAATCGATAAATGAAAATTTAATTTAAAGACTAAGAGAGTTATATGCAGTTAAGAAATGTATCTCCTTAATGCATAACTCTGTTTCCTTGTCAAAGTTTGGCTAAACTTTTGGTCCCGCTATGTTATGACAGCTGTTTAACGTTTGTTTTATGTTTTGGATTTCAAACTATTTTGGCCTTGACCATCACAATTTTAAAGATAGGTTACTGAAACTATTTCTTTACATCTCCTGTGGTTGCTAACATGATTCGACATATCGAAACAATGTTTAAATTTATCAATATGCTAGTGGAACTTGACACTATTTCCTGTATTGCACGTTCTGTTTTCAACACTTTCTCCTAGAAGTGAACTCTAAATAGTGTGATGCATGCAGAATAGGATATACTTACCCTGTACTCTATCCCGGTCTCAATCCGTATCAAGATCATGCGATATTGAATAATATTCTTCTCATCTTTGTCTTTTTTATAATTTAACTTCCGAAACTATGATCTGAACATATTCTAATTTATATATAATGTGACAAGTGAAATACAGATGATAGGAAAACCTTCGCAATATCTCCCTTTATTTTTTTCAGATTATTGATTGACAAGGGGTACGTTTTCAGAGATAGAGGGAAAAATAAGATTAAAGGAAAAGGACTGATGAGCACCTACATTTTGATCAACAGATCCGGTCAAACATACAAGGAACCCGACGATGCTTTCTGCAAAATGCCTTTAGCTAAAACTGTTGATTTGGACATTGAAATTGAAGTATTACCAGATAAAACCAATGTAGTAAAGGAGCGATCTAAAAGCCAGATTCAGAGCCCAACAGTGGACAAACCAGCAGAACGTCCAAAAAGTCGGTCAGTTATTGTAACCAGACCAATACCGATATCCAGAAGACAACCCCCACTACAGAAACAAAACAGCTCGACTTGTATGCTGAGTTAATTTCTTGTATCAACTTCAATACTTGAATACTAGACAATTTTCAGATGAGTTAATGAAATAGGCTATCCACCTAGATTGAAATGACGCCCAAATATTTGTCTCACAAATTCTATTTAGTGTTATACGAACATCCCGAGACTGTTTTGTATGTAAAGTAAATTCTTAATTTATTTATTGTCCATTTATATCATTATCCATTTGCACGAAATTAAAGAGACTGCATAATATGTTTGATGTGAGTGGTCATTTGTTAATCACAAATAATGAATTCAAATGACAAAAGCTGTAGAAAATAAGTATATCAGTCCGGTTAATATATAAATTAACAGTATTTTGATTAGTATACCACCGCTTGTTATATTCCATTCAATGTTTCTTCAATTATTCTGAGGATGATTTCTTCAAGCTGATACTACATTTTTCATTTAAATAGACAATTTAATGTAAAAATTAGAAAAAAGGAAATGTTTTGAATAAAACCAAATTTATATTTAAGAAATCGGTAATGTAAAGTCGGGAAAAGGTCTGAGCTTAAATGTGCATTTGTTGTCTGACCAAAAAGTTAAAATAATTAATCTTTTTTGAAATTTTCTTGCCTGGTTATGAATGTTTAATCATGTGATATATGTTGTTGACCGTATACAATTAGATTCGGGCATCACCTCAAAACGCTGTATTGTGTACCATTTAACAAAGAGGTGAACAACTTTAAACATGAACCCTTACAGAAACTTGGTGCGATCACATGTGCCTTGGAAGGGTAAGCAAATTACTACAATGTGACATCCGTCATGTTGTTCATTGGAAACACAAATTCGGTAATAAGTCTCATTGGTGATTTCGCAATCAAGGAAAATAGGACGGAATTATGGTTACGACAATTTAAACAAAATAATATTCGTGGTCATCATTCGATACAGATATTCCATAACGGCCAGTCAACTCGTTATGGCGTCTGTAAAGCTTTCGAAGAAGCGACTTTAGCTTTATCACTTGGAATCCTCTTTATAAGCAGCAACCCTGTATTAAGTTAATTATGATAGGGAACATATAAAGGCGCTGCTGGAATGTTGCTTCAAAGAAATTAAAAGTTCACAATTGGAAAGCTGAAATCTTTGTAGAATTTGTTCATCAAAATTTGTGGTATTACCAGCTTCCATAATGTCCAGTACAAAACAAATGCCTTGTCAAACTCATTAAAACAAACCAGTAGCTGATCTATGTTCTCCTAGCTAAATTCCTACAATCAACTTCTGATAGCAGTATAATAAAAACGACCTGTATGTATATTAAGTTGGCATTGTGACCATTACATTTGTTTCAATCTTGTCGTAAAAGTTTAGCTATAAAGCATTTTTTGGTGACGGAATTTCAAGTAAATCTTGCATGTTCTTCTGTAGGATTGTGTGTGGCCATACCTCTAATGTTTTCAGTTTTTGGTTTTGCCTTTTCGTAGTTTGAATATGTTAATACAAAGCTAGTTAATGTTTGAATTCAATAAGGAATTCAAATAGTTAGATCTCTTAAAATTATTCCTCCAAATGTTTGTAAGTTCGATATCTGTTGTATTTACTAGATAGTTTGATGTAGAACGGCAATCTGTAAAATATGCGGTTTTTACATTGTTCTTCATTTATACTGATTTGGTTTGCATTGTGATTCATCTGTTGTTCATATGAATATGTAGATCTAGAACATGTGAACATTTCATTGTTTAAATTAAGCGTCGATGTTTGTACTCACATGATATTGTTGACTTGGCTTATATTTGTCTCTAAATTAAATGCATACTCATCTAAATCGACTATCTCTGTTTCTTTATCCTATCCCTCCAATACCTAAATATTTTCATCATCCAATTTCCTTAGAAGTTCCTGTTTTCTTCTGAGTATGTTCAAACTTTTTGAAAGTTCATCTGTGTCACAGCTTTCATTTTCAATCTGTAAATCATCATCAAATATTTTAACAATTCTGGAAATACCACGTTTGTGTCCTGCAAGTATCGATTTCAGTTATCGTAGATATGATAGATTCGAAACCTCAAGGCATATAATAAGCAAAACTTGTTTAGATTATTAATTGTTAGCAAGTCAACAATTACGTCACAAACACATAGCATCACAATACAGAGTCGAATCGCGAATGTATAGTTTGTGCATTATTATTTAAAGATATTAATGTGTCAAAACTATGCTAAAATATACGGTGATACTCAAATTCGGACGACGGGTTTGCATGATTCTTGATTGCATGCTAATTTTACCAGTTTTCCGCGCAGTGTTTTCTTTTCGTGAGGTGTAGTTTTAAAAGATTATAAACAAGGAAAAAAAATTTTGTTTGAATGAGAAAAACTTTTCGTGAAATTATGAACTTTTTTAGCCTATTAATCTAGATCTTGTTCAAAGGGAAAGTATGTCGTGATAAATATGGGGTTGAAGGAAATAAAGCTGTGTTTCCGCTATTGATAATAAGTACGTGAATTAAGTTACATATCCGTGGAGTAAAATGAATAATTAAATGAATGATGTATGATTTATCTACATGAAAATGAATATATTACGTTTGGGTCGGCAATTTTCACGTTTTCCAAATACATATTTCTTGTTTTTGGGTCATGAAAATCAACATTCGCTAATTTTCTCGTGGTACAGAAATAGAAATAGAAATAGAAATAGAAATACTTTATTAATCCAATTATAAAACCTTGCGGGTTTTAAATTTCATACGATGATTACAATGATTTTTGTTATGACAATGAAATAATAATAAAATAAAATAGAACACTGAATAGTTATTGCATGCACATGGAAGAGAAAGTTAATATGGGAGACAATCAATAAATATGTAAGGATTATTCCCCTTTGAACAGTATGTAATAATCTTTGAAGATATGGTGTTCAGAGATGGATAAAAAAGAAGCCCCAACTGATTAAATATAAGGGTAGTTTTCTCCCGTGTACCCGCAGCAACCAATTACTAAATATTTATGTATATAATATTTGAATTGCAAGAATTGGATTAGCTCCTTTACAAATTTGACAGCAGTTTAACGCATATATTAGCCATTAACATATATATACATGACATATTCATACACATAGATAGAGTAATGTGCATTTTATTTAAAAAAAAATTAATTTAAAATACTGTAACATATAGATACTCTAAAAGAGATTCAGCCATTTACAGAATTTTTGGATCTGAATTCAAAACTCTGGATAAGAAAATTACTTAACTTTTCAAGTATATATTTATCTTCAGTGGTCATTAACCATAAACATTTTGATTTGCAGTCTAAGTTGTTAAAATTTTGACAGTGCGCATGAGCTTGTGCAAACAATAAATCCCGAAAGTTATTAAATAATGGTTAGTTTATTAAAAAATGAAACTCATCTTCTATATCATTATGAGAACAAAATATATAATTTTTGCAAAATGTATATATATATATTATTTGAATGAATACCTAACCGGTGTCACTTTTTAAGGAATGCATTATATGAAAAACTAAAAATAAAAGTATAATGAGCTGTTTCACTGTTGAATTATTATAAATATTTATATAAAAAGATTGAAGGCAGTTTCTGATATACAAAAAGTAGATAAATTACATGTTACATCACTTCAAAATGACATTGCTAGTTTTTTCAAATCAAGACAATTTGCATAAATCAAGTATCTAGTATATCAATTGCGTTCTCACCGACAATATTTTAAAGAGGGATGGTTTTCATCAACCTGGTTTTCATAAAGCAGACCTTAATAAAACAGGCTATATATAACACAACATATGGTATCCGAAGTATTCAGGAAAAAAGGCAAACATTCTGACCCCTGTGATATCTCCAGATTTTGGTTGAGGTTCTATTGCTCAATCTTTAGTTTTTTTTGTGTAGTGTTTTGTGCACTATTTCTGGCCTTTTCATCGTCTTTCGTTTTAACAATTGTGTTGCTCGTTCAACTTGTGATTGCAAGAGCAAAAAAAAAGTATATAGATCGACCATCTTCCTTAAATACATATAAGCAAGTCAACAGGGGAACAACAAATTGTTTCTGCTACAGAAAAAATAAAGGTGTTCATATGCTACAATCTCAATCACACCCGGACAATTTCTCATTACTTCTAAAAAATACTAACTTTTTTCAAAACTTGGAACCGATAAGGATATCGCACTTGTCTCCATTGACTTACTTGTACACAAAAACTAATCATGGCAATGATGGAGAAGTGTGCAGGAAAATATCAATGGAACCTTTCTGTTACGATCCATTGAGTTCCTGGTCCAGCGTCTTCAGGCTTATTGTGTTCATTAACGTCAAATTAATGAAACAACCATAGCACTAAATGGAACATTTGTATTTTAGCATATAGTTGATAAGTAAGACAATCATATTAAAGATACGACTATCTATTGTGTTTTCATACCAACTAATCGAAGATATTGTCATGAAGTAGAGTTAGTCAAATGTGACCTTTATAATTAAATTTTCCAACAATGTCAACCAATCAATCATAACCACTGACATTTCTTAATCCAAAATAACATTTTAACCACAAGAATAATTTCATGTCAACTATATTGTACTTATAAATTATATCAAATCAACTTACATCAGAATCCATTTGAATTCAACCTAATTCAAACAAAAACCTCTATGAAAAAGACATCATCACGATGTTTGATTTTCTGTTTAACAAGATACATGTTACGTTTTGGAGACGTATTTTTCAATTGACTTTCGTATGGGAACCAACTGTGCTTTCTTCTTGCCGATTTATTTCTTCATTCAAATAAGGATGACTATATACAGAAGATCCTCAGGAAAAATGAAAAACAGGCGGTTTAAGCCTTTAACTCGCGGTCTCCTATTAAGATGATGTCCTCTGAATAAATAATTCTAAGTTTGGGGATTATGTTGAACGTATTTACCCCATTGACGAATTTAAGATAAATGATTCCACAGAAACCGTCATGTCTGCTACTTATCTTAAATTACAACTGGAAGTTGAAGAGCGGTATCGGTTATGAAATAAACTAAATAAGTCTAAGCTACGTTTTTTTTTATTAGTTGTTTTGAACTGGGTTTGAACTAGCTGTCAGTTACTGCGAGTACTCTCAGATCTGTAGTTAGTGACCTTTTTGTTGTTAGGGATGAGGGATGGATAAATACCCTGCCATGTCCGGTCTGTGTTTATGTTTGATGTTTTTCTGCTTTGTACCGATCTGATAAGTTAAGCCTTTTTCAACTGATTTTTATAGTTTGTTCTTATGTTGTACTATAACACCACTGTCACAGGTTAGGTGGAGGGGTGAGCGCTCCCCATTATGTTTAACCCCGCCAAATTCTTTATGTGCCTGTCCCAAGTCAGGAGCCTGTAGTTCAGTGGTTGTCGTTGGTTTATATCTGTCATTTTTTGTTTTTCGTAAATTGTTTTGTTATAAATAAGGCCGTTGTTGGATCTCCCTCATCAGGAACGCTCAACTTAACAAATTTTAAAAAGTCAAGGACACATGAGAGGTTAAATTTACGAGAAGTTACTTGACAATACGGGAAATAAAACTAGAGGCTCTAAAGAGCCTGTGTCGCTCACCTTGGTCTATGTGCATATTAAACAAAGGACACAGATGGATTCATGACAAAATTGTGTTTTGGTGATGGTGATGTGTTTGTAGATCTTACTTTACTGAACATTCTTGCTCCTTACTATTATCTCTATCTATAATGAACTTGGCCCGGTAGTTACAGTGGAAAATATTTTGTAAAAATTTAAAAATATTTACAAAATTTTTGAAAATTGTTAAAATTTTTTTATAAAGGAGCAATAACTCCTTAAGGGGTCAATTGACAATTTTGGTCATGTTGACTTATTTGTAGATCTAACTTTGCTGTACATTATTGCTGTTTACAGTTTATCTCTATCTACAATAATATTCAAGATAATAACCAAAAGCTGCAAAATTTTCTTAAAATTACCAATTCAGGGGCAGCAACCCAACAACGTGTTGCCTGATTGGTCTGAAAATTTCAGGGCAGATAGATCTTGACATAATGAACAATATTATCCTCATCAAATTTGCTCTAAAGGCTTTGGTTTCAGAGATATGAGCCAAAAACTGCATTTTACCCTATGTACTATTTTTTAGCCATGTCGGCCATCTTGGTTCGCGGGCGGGGTCATCGGACACATTTTTAAAACTAAATTGTGGACAAGTTTGGTTAAATTTGTCTTAGCAGTTTTAGAGAAGAAGATTTTTGTAAAAGATTACAAAAATTTACGAAAAATGGTTAAAAATTGACTATAAAGGGCAATAACTCCTTAAGGGGTCAACTGACCATTTTGGTGAAGTTAACTTATTTGTAGATCTTACTTTGCTGAACATTATTGCTGTTTACAGTTTATCTCTATCTATAATAATATTCAAGATAATAACCAAAAACGGCATAATTTCCTTAAAATTACCAATTCAGGGTCAGCAACCCAACAACGGGTTGGCCCATTCATCTGAAAATTTCAGGGCAGATAGATCTTGACCTGCTAAACAATTTTAGCAAAATGTCAAATTTGCTCTAAATGCTTTGGTTTCAGAGATATAAGCCAAAATCTACATTTTACCCCTTTGTTCTATTTTTAGCCATGGCGGCCATCTTGGTTGGTTGGCCGGGTCACCGGACACATTTTTTAAACTAGATACCCCAATGATGATTGTGGCCAAGTTTGGTTAAATTTGGCCAAGTAGTTTCAGAGGAGAAGATTTTTGTAAAAGTTAACGACGACGGACGACGACGACGAACGACGAGGGACGACGACGTCGACGGACGACGGACGCCAAGTGATGAGAAAAGCTCTCACTTGGCCGTTTGGGCCAGGTGAGCTAAAAAATAGCTAAATCAATATAACACCAAATAGTCAGAGGGAGTAGGAACCTTAGTTTCTTTTTTGTTTTAAATATATCAGCGGAAAATTCAACAAAGATTCAAATGTTTGTAATAAGAAGTGTCAGTATCGAATCACTGATTAATGAATAGGTGATACACATCAGATACTACCAATCAACCAGAAGCGGTAGCGCCCCAGTTCTAGGAATTGTTAATAACACTTATAAATTTCGTGCACACAACATGTACAAGCATATTACTGGATTTATCTTCATCATGAATACTCAACTCAAATATTTGAAAACAAACTTTTTCTCTGACTGTTAATGACGTCTTTACACTAAACCCATTGGAAGTTGGATGTGTACTGATTGATATTTTAGTCTTAGATGCATGATTTTTTTTATTAGTTGTTATTGTCTGTGAACTAGCTGTCAGTAACTGTGAGTACTCTCAGATATGTACTTAGTGTCTTTTTGTTGTGGGGATGATAAGTACTCTGCCACGTCCACTATGTGTTTTTGTTAGATATATTTCTGCTTTGTATCCATCTGATGAGTTAAGCCCTTTTCAACTGATTTTTATAGTTTGTTTTTATATAGTACTGTTACACAACTGTCCCAGGTTAGGGGGAGGGTTGACGCCTTCAAACTAGTTTAACCCCGCCAAATTGTGTATGTGCCTGTCCCAAGTCAGGAGACTGTAATTCAATGGTTGTCATTTGTTGCTGTATATCATATTTGTTTTTCGTTCACTATTTTTTTTAATAAATCAGGCCGTTTGTTTTCTCGTTTGATTTATTTTACATTTGTCATATCGGGGCCTTTTATAGCAGACTATACGGTATGGGTTTTTCTCGTTGTTGAAGGCCGTACGGTTGCCTTTAATTTCTTACATCCCCTTTATTTGTACTTTGGTGGATAGTTGTCTCATTGGCAATCATACCTCAGCTCCTTATTTTTATATAAACAAGCGGACTTTTTGATTGTGAACTTTCCATTTCTATAAAACAACATTCCAGCAGCGTATATATGAAGTAAATATCACAAAGGTGATATTATATTTTTAGAGTTTGCGTTTCCTACCTTGATTTTCCCTGAAGAGTATATGCTTACAAGGTAGCCAAACATGATTGGAACATGCCACACAAGGTTACATTCCACGGAAAGACCGTAAGACGTGTCTTACTACTCCGACAGATTTTGATACATTATAAAAGGCAGGCATTTACTATTACTACTCAGTGATCCATGCATAACAAAGTAGCAGCTGATGTACATTTAAATGTCTTAAACGGCGGTCGATAGAACTAAGTTTTGCACCCAAGGCATGCTAGCTAACGAGAAAACAAAAGGCGGAAAGTTGAATATACAATATACAATATAAAAGTGCTTTTACATTATTATTCAATGCTTATCATGTTTGATTCATTAAAATGTATAACAAATCAATTTCAACTGTAACTGTGTTGTTTGTACATGTACATGTACATTGTATTGTCTGTAAAAATCAACATTTGATAACTTGCCCTCCATTTTAATTCATTTTTGTCGCTAAATCTTGTTTTGTCTGTGTATCACATTTCTAATTCTTTATTTAAAGTCGAATTGGCAACTGGCTTTTTTAATATGAATTTCCAATTTGTATATTCCAAGAATAAAATGTTACTTGATAAATTTCCCTAAAACATTTTTAGTGATTGATTTGGTTAATTTTCGAAGTGAACAAACATTATGAATATCAATAAACTAGGACTTACAAAAACTTTGTATCATTCAATTTTGTGTAGTGACAAACAAAATTAAATATTTACGGCCATCTTGCCATGACAGTTTATATCACTAAATAGTGACTTCCCTGTAATAAATCTTTACATATTTGCATACATAGGTGGTCGGTTATTTCTATAGTTGTTTTGCTGTGTCATTGATGAATACCCCATATCTCTTTAAATTCATAAGTGGTTCCTGATGGGCGTAAAATGTGATATTTTAAACGAAACTATAACTATATACTTTAAAAAACCAATTAAATTGTGAAAAACTGATCACATTGCAGCTATTAAAAAGACAAAAGTGGAAAGCAGAATATGTAAATGTATCATTTGATATGCTTTCATTATGATGTAAATATAGTTGTTGTGGTAGTTGACTATTAATAATTGATAACATGTTAAACAATATTAAGCGGTTTTCAAAAATGCAACCGTGCATTATAATAACTTTATAAGTGTATGATATAGGATAATCATATGCAGCTATGTAATATATAATTATCACTATCAATATATATCATTAAGTTCAGAATATGTGTTGTTGAATGTATGTTGTCTGAACTCTTACTTACTTTCTTGGTTAGTGTTTATTTTATTTGCCGACATTTTAACTCCACAAAAATACTTCTTTTCAGAAGTGTCCATGTGAAGTATCATGCTATAAATCAAACCGAAATAAGAGTTCTTCAGTTGTGATTGAATCTCATGGAAGCCAAAAAAATATAATTTCGGAAAGTATAAAAATAGTAGTGCCGCATCTGTCCAAAACCGCATGAGGTTATCTGTGCTTATGGGTTTTACTTCATAGTCCTCAGACGCACTAAGAAAAGGAGCATGAAACCAAAAGAGTCAGGAGATTCCAAAATCGCTTAAGTTCAACATTTTCCTAAGGGGTTTTCATTGCATAATCCTTACAAGCACTAAGAATAGCAACTCGCTTGTTTGAATCAAATTTATGTATTTCTAAAACTGTATTGTCACGTCTCATTCATCTATGTATGAAATAAGAAACACATAAAAAAATTATATGACCTATCGGTAATCTTTAAAATACGTAATGTAAAAGTAATCTGTATCAAATTTAATGAATTTGTGAAACAAGCTACTAATCTATCAGGTTGCGAATAACGACCCTAATCAAACCAAACGTCATCGTTAACATGTATTAAAAAAAACAGTTTTTTGGATATCAATAAAGATTGTAAAAAAATGAATATCTGTCAAAGTTATAAAACAACTTGTGAAATTGATATATTTATGTTTTAAATGAATGCTTGACAGTTTGTAATTTTTTGGTTACATAAATAAAGAACAACATCAATATAAGCAGAAGGCTGATTTGCTCACCTTACTAAAGCTTGCTGATTATAGTTTGTATATATTCATGAACGTTTTCAATATGATAGACAAACACTGAAAATATGGGTAAATATCGTCTGGTAACTTTTATCAATGTGCAGTCATCTTACATGTATACGTCTAGGTATTTCACATCCAATTTTTTATGGTAATATTCTACACAAAGCACAATCATGTCGCCATTCAATTCAAAAGCTTACCAAACCTTTAAACAGACTTATTCACATGGGACATAGTTATGATACTGTTGTCAAGTCATTTAAGGTGGAATTTTTTGGAATTAATAGTGATTCACTCATAGGGTCTTTGCATCGGTAATAAACACATTTATTAAAAAAAAAGTTAAATAACCAAAAAACAGAACTCCAAGGAAAATTTAAATCGAAAAATCATTGGCAAAATCGAAAACTCAAACACATCAAACGAATGGAAAACAACTGTCATATTCCTGACTTGGTACAGGCATATCCTCATGTAGATAATGGTGGATTAAACCTGTTGTTAGCATGATACAGGTTATGTTCCTCGCGTATAGTTTATGATGGCATGATAGTAAACACCTTTTTGGAAGGATTGTGGTTGATTTTCATATGATGAAGACATAATTTTTCAATCTGTTTAACTGAAGCTCGCATGTTAGTAACTGCTAGTAGTCCTTTGTTACTTTATGTTTATCATTGTAATGTAGCTTAGTTTCTTCTGTAACTTATTCTAACATCGGACTCGGACTTCTTTAAAAGTGAGTTTATTTACTGTGCGTTTTGCTGTGTGTTTTTTTTATTCCACAATGTCTATAAGCAGCTGAAGACTCGATTGATCATGTTTTTGTTTAGTTTTGCATTTTTGGGTTTTCATTTAACAAAAGAACGGCAAAGAAAAACGGGATATTATGGAAGTAAAGGTATAAAGTTTTCTTTTGTGTGCTCAATCTCTAGCTTTTTGTGTTATGCTATGCTATTGTTGTTTGTCTTCAATTTCGATTTTAGCCATGTCGTTGTCTGTTTTTTTTACTTATTATTTTCGATTGTCCCATTTGGTATATTTTGTTCGTTTGTTTATTCCACATTGGCTAGAGGTATAGGGGAGGGTTAAGATCTCACAAAACCTGTTTAACCCCGCCGCATATATGCACCTGTCCCACGTCAGGAACCTCTAGCCTTTGTGAGTCTTGTGTGCTTTGTTTAATTTTGGTACATTTGTATATCTTATTGGGTTGTTGTCTCTTTGACACATCCCGTTTCCATTCTCTATTCTTTATTAATGATAGTACATGTCAGCACAAAAGTGCTGACTACGGGGCTGGTGATACCCATCTAAAAGTCGTCTTTCAAAGTAAATAACTCTTATAAAGGGTGAATTGACGTTTTAAGACATGTAGATCTTATTTATTGTCATAACGCGGGAGGTTTGGCTAGCCATTAAACCAGGTTCAATCCACCATTTTTTCTTAAAATGTCCTGTACCAAGTCAGGAATATGGCAGTTGTTATCAAATAGCTCGTTTCTATGTATGTTGGCGTTTGTTTTTGTTGCACTTCAATGTTTCTGTTGTTCCTTTGTTTTCCTCTTATAGTTGATGTGTTTTCCTCGGTTTAAGTTTGTAACCCGGACTGTTTTCCCTCAATCGATTTACGACTTTTAAACACAGATATACTACTGTTGCCTTTATTTATTTTGTTGGACATGTTTGCTGCAACAATCATTTCTATCGAATATAGCTTCTTCAAAAACAACAAAAACAAAACACACACAAATAAGAAATGGTCTTTCACAGGTAAAATCTCCAGTATAGGGTCAATTGGCTATATCGTACGGACGTTTTTGAAGATCATCTTTTGCTGATAATTTTTAATACTGAAAGATACTCTTTATGTGTAATAGTTTTAGCAAAAAACATATAATGAATTGGTAATAATCTCTCTGGAAGGGCAATTATTCGGATAAGGGGTCAATTGACGATTTCGGTCATTCGACTTAGCTATTTGTAGATCTAATTATTCTCGTCATTTTGATGTTTACAAAATAGTGTGAATGACTTGAAACTTTACGGTCTTTCTAACACAAGGCGTAGATGGCCTTAGTCAGATTTGAACTTATATATTTCAGGCTCTTTAATTTCAAAGTCAATGAACGATAACTGAAGGTACATGGTTAAACAATCTCCATGGAAATGAGATGTGCCGATGATAATACAACTGCATACCAAATACCATAGACTTATCATAAGTCGTTCCCTTTCAACAAACCTAAACACAAACATTGACTTGTAAACTATGTAAAAGTTTCAAAGTCAATGAACCATGATGAGGGGGTGGGGCTATATAATCTCCATGGAAACGAGACTTGAAAATACCAATAAATTTGCATACCGAATATCAATGACTTAACATTAGCGGTTCAATCACAAACGAATACATGTAAACTAAGCAAAAGTTTCAAAGTCAATAGACCATGACTGGGTTGGCGGGACCAAATATTCTCCATGGAAATGAGATGTGCTAATGCTTATACAATTGCATATGTCTTGCTTTTGGACTCCGTCACGGCGAGACAAAAAGCTAGAGATTGATCACATGTAGGAGAGTTTATACTTTTGCTTTCCGTATTATCCTGTTCTTTTTGAAAGTCAATGCCATTGCCGCTCTTTTGTTACATGAGAAACCCCAAAATGCAAAACTTAAAAAAAAATCAATCAAATCTTCAGCTGCGTATAGGTATTTAAATTTCTTATTATAAAATAGTATCAAAATTTCAAATTATACAAATACATCTAAAATGTTTTACATTTTGTACAAATTCAAAGAATATTTGAAATACCGAGACGTTCAAATAAATGTGAGTTTATTGGTCTTGCTTCCTTGGTTTAATTTGACCCTTTTTAAAGATTGCGTAGTTGTATCGCTGAGATGAAATGCAGTTGTTTTTCACTTGTTCCGTTGATTGACTGTTTAATTTTGTCAACTTATACGGACTTCCCCTTTTTGAATCTGCCTTTGACTTCAGTATGTTTGTTATTCCTTTTTCTAACAAAATTTCAGGTTCTTTTCATTCAAGTTTCACTCACGTCAAAACATTCAATATAAATCTTGATAAGGATATTTTCTGCAAAGAGACATAGCATGTGTTTCCATTTAATTGCCTAACAAACGCTGCGACGACTTGTCACACTGAAATATTAAAAAGGAGCATTAGATATTTGATTTTCCAATTATGCATTAAACTGGGATACACATATCACCTTTGGTTTGGTAGTGGCGTGTAATACGGCGAGATTTAATGTCTTATTAGTAATGCACCAGGCAAACCAATTTAAAAAAATGTAAAACCTAATACACACGTTGCTGAGCTGAGATAACAGTTATGGTTATAAAGCTAACACGAAGTGCTAAGTCATTGTTATAAAATGCAATTACCAAGGTAATTTACCGTTTTTTTATTGGATATCACGATGTTTTGTGGGATTTCATTTAACAAAGCGTTTTAGTATGTTTAAAATATAGAAATAAGAAGATGTGGTATGATTGCCAACGAGACAACTCGTGGCGTAACAGTACAACATAAGAACAAACTATAAAAATCAGTTGAAAAGAGCTTAACTCATCAGATGGATACATCAAGACTAAAATATCAATCAGTACAAATCCAACATCCAATGGATTTAGTGTAAAGACCTCATTACCTGCATTTTGGGGTTTCTCATTAATAGACAGAGAAAAAGTTTGTTTTCAAATATTTGAGTTGTGTGTTCATGATAAAGATAAATTCAGAAATGTGTTTATGTGCACGAAATTAATAAAGTGTTATTAACAATTCCTAGAACTGGATCGCTACCGCTGCTGGTTGATTGGTAGTATCTGAGAGTATCACCTTTTCATTGAGCAGTGATTCGCTACTGACATTTTTTATTACATACATTTGAACCTTAGTTCAATTTTCCGTTGATATATTTGAAAAAAGAAACTAAGGTTCCTACTCCCTCCGACTATTTGGTGTTATATGGATTTAGCTATTCTTTTTATTTCCCGTATTGTCAGGTAACTTCTCGTAAATTTAACCTCTAATATACCCTTGACTTTCCAAAATTTGTTTAAGTTGAGAGTTCCTGATGAAGAAGATCCAAAAATAAGAGCGCTTCGATCTCCATATTTGTAAAGAGTTATTTTCATTTAAGTGTTCTTAATTGGGGAATCTCTACTTTTATCTTACCTCCTATACATTTCTAGGAATATGATTGGTTAAAAGCAACCGCGTGGAGATATATTCCATATTAGGTTAGTAGGCGGGGCTTGTTTTCAATACGCGGTTAGTAGTGGTGTTACGTCCCTTTATAAAAATAACATGGTGTTGAGGAAAAAACTTAAAGGTTTCAACAGACGAAGAAATTGATGATGAACGATTGAAACAAATTCATAAAACACAGTTAATATTGTTGGTATTTGTTTTTGTATAGACCAATGGAAGTAGGTTCTTAATACTAACGGCAATGAAGACTTGATCACTTTGATAGGCCACTAGTCTAAATACCACATGTTAAGATAGTCGGTAAGATAAATTCGTTACATAGTGTGATAGTGACCTAATACGATATATATGGGGTCAGTAAATTCCAATTGATGCATTAATTTCAGAATCTTCTCCTGAGACGAGGTGATCAAATCAAGAAAGAAAAAAATATTGAATAATGTATTATTTTTTTTGGTGATTTACCATCTTTTGAATGTATTCTCCTTTGAAATTATAAAATGCAGTTAATGATTATTGAATGAGAATACCAAACAACAAGTTATATTTCCTGCCTAAACACTTCCAAAACAAAGCTACAGACGAGATAAAACGCTACTTATACATCTTACGGAACTTTAAGATGTTATTGAACTTACCCTATTGATTGTAATAATGGTCACAGAAAGCCTAAGATAATTTCTGTATGTAATGCCAAATCAAAGTTGAAGCAGAAACTTCTGAAATTTAAGACATAATAATAAAAAATAAAGGTACCAAATATGTTTATTCGACTAATATCAGTTTCGTATAATAATTAATATAAAAATGATCGGGTAATGAATTAACTGTAACGTTTAACATCTAACTCACACAAAAAGTATTTTATTCTTATATAGTTTAATGTTCTTATTTAAAAGGTTGTGCGAAATATTTTATAAATGGTAAAGTACTTACAGTTCTAACTTGGTGTGTTGCTAAGAATGAAACACGGTTAAAATCACTAAGTCATACATAGAGCATGTTCCAAATTGTGATTATGTTGCATTTATATGGAAAATATTCTGTTTCATGATCAATGAATCACATTCCATAACGATCAATAACTATAATGTTCAAAGATGTATTACTGAATTTAGTATAATATTTGGCATCAAACAAGTTCTATAAGATAATTTTAAATAAATCCTATTCATTTTAGAAGTGAGACAGATCATATTTTTTTTCTTTATATTTGCAATGTTTCATATGTTAAACTTTCTCAAAATATTTTTACTTCACTTTGAAATGTAATCTTGAAAAAAACCTAGTTATTCATTAAAACCATATATTATAACATTTGCATGAATGTACATAGCTTAGCATCTTTAAAAGACCAAACATCATTAGAAGTGTTAGCTGAAGCAAGCTGTTAGTTAAAAACAAGTAATCTAGTACACAAATGTAAAAAGTAGTAAGATTTTCCATATGATAAAATAGAATCACATATAGTGACAATCTAGTTATACAGCGAAACACATTATATTTTTTGAAGAGAACTATCAACCTTACTGCAAAAATGTACTAGTATATTGCAGACTTTGTATTGTTAAGAGTAACTGATATGATTCATTTTAACAATATTTTTTGTATTGATATTGTTCTAAATAAGAAATACATCCTACTGACTTACTTTGGCATATATGATCGTTACTTTCTAAGAAGTTAAATCCACTAGAAACATTTCCTACAAGTAACAAAGAATATAATGACAAGTTGAAACATTATTTCTATACAGTAAATTGATGCAATACCTTAGATTCTTAATTATGTAAGCTTTGATTATCTGTGACGAGACATTAAAATATGAAAACAACACTAACAAATTCATGAGATCGAAGCGCTTTCTGGATTTACCTTCATCAGGAATGCTTAAAGCCGAATATTTGAAAGCCAAGGATGTATAAAAACTAAAAAAAAAACCGTTTAATTTCAAAATATGTAACTGTTGTTGTAGTACATTTGTTACCGTTAACCCTCTGATGGTACCACCAGCACAGTAGCTAGATTTTTGGACTGGCATAAATATATACGGATAATGTTTCGGTTATAACTTAAATTAAGGTATCTATCTTCGTCATGCATAGCTCTTGATTCCTTGTTCGGTTTTGACTATACTTTTGGTACTTTTTGATTTGATCAGCCCTCAACGTTTGTATTTTAATTTTGATTTGCTATTATATTTCCTCGATAATCACCAAAGAGACTTTACTTGTTGGAATGCCTTTGTCGTTTTGTAAAATTGGTACCGTTAAAGTTATAAATCACCTCTACAAAAGAAAAAACAAAACAAAGATAGAAACATTAAAACATTAAATCTTTGGAACGACAACGGAAAAAAATCTTCTAAATTACTCCCCCCTCCTTTATGAGCAATTTCATATTTAATTTATAATGCATAATCACGATTAGGGTTGATTAATTGTAACCTATCTAATTCAAAGTTAATACTGACATTGAATACATAATTACCGAAGCAATAGGCAGACTTATCAACAGCGCTTGTACGCAGTTCATATACCAAATAATTCCCACAGCAGAATTTAATGTTGATGTTCCAAGTTTGAGAACAGCCGTTGTCGAATGATTGAACACACACTGGTAGACTAACTTGTACGTTTGGTACTGATGGTAATATTCCTTCATGAAAATAATTTGTTATCAAACAAGAGAAAGATAATTTAATAGATATTGGTTAAATCTTTAGAACATTACTAATCTATATATTTAGTATCTTCGCAATAAAAAATGTACTGATTACGAAATATGTGTGTACCAATAGTTTGATTAAGAAATTCAAAACCTAAAGCCTCACAAGAAAACATGTTGATGTATATACAGTGAAATTTGAGTAGTTTTAATTTATATGTAAAAATATACGACAAAAGTCGGTCTAATTTCAAAACCTTTCACGCATTGATAAATTTTCAACATAATCAAATGTTTTTTTTTCTCAATTATACTGTCTTGAAGTGCTATCATTTAAACCTGAGTAAAGGCACGATGCAGAAGTAGCAACTATAAATGTAAATGAATACATCTGGTATCAGAAGAAAGAGTATTTTAAATTGATTCAAAAATAACATATTTTGTTATACTTTTGTTATGAAATAAGGCATAAGCCACTTCTGGTGAAATCAGTCACTTTCGGTGTCAAATGATATTTTTTCGAGCGCCACTGATGAGTTTTATTCGCGCGGCTGGCGTACCAATTCACAAGCTAGGTATATTTTGTAAATTTTTCCACAGATCCTGCATGCATTTGATACTATATCAATGATTCAAATTTGTAATGTTAAGCAGGTTAAACAGTTAAATGAAGTTGAGAGCCAAATTTCACAAAAATCTGTAGCATTTACTGTTCCTTGACCCAAAATTCATAGTAATAGTTTTGGGACAAAAAGAAGTTCCTTTGAGCTTGTGGCACTCATCACATGATGGAGAAACATTCAATTAATATTAGAGTAATTATTTACATTTTTGTATTCATTAAGTTACAATGTCTCACTTTCATTAACTGACTAGTTCCAATAGATCATATGCATGTCGAATAATGTCAATCTAACGTTATCGCCAGACTTACAGTTTTTCTCATGTTTTATAATACAATGCCATTCAAAAATTTGGCTTTGAATTTCTTGGATATTGTAAATTTGTATTGATTTATAGAGATCCCTCCCCCTTTCCAAAAAAACAGCTAAAAAAAAAAAAAAACAACAATGCTTGCGTTAAGAGTGGTTGTAAATGCGTCAATATTTTTATTTTAATTCCGAATAGAACTATATTATTTATCAAATTAATCGGTGCTGAACATAAAAAAAAGATACCGTTTAACCATATAGGATTAAATGTCCCACATCTGAAAGCTCCTGGACTTTGGTTTGGAATAAGACTGCCAGTGTCCATTTCAATCCTGTACCAATCCTGTGTCAATCTTTCATCAGAAATAGGTATGTCATTGTTAAGATCAAAATTGTAAGATGGTGAACGCTTCTCTTCATTGGAAATAGTCGAATACTCATAGCATGGGTCAAATGCTGGAATGTCAAAAATATATTTTATTTGATTGATTCCCAACTTAAATTCGATAATCAACACTTACATTAAATTACGGTAAATATAGATACATAATTTTACTGTGGACAGAGTATTCTTGCAACAACAAAATTATGTAATAATCCAAAAGGCACAGTTATATCTTCTATTTAACATTTTCATTATGAGAATCATAAACCATCGTTGATTTGTTTTATTAATATGGCAGTGATAAGACATCTTTCATCACAATCTTCCCTTAATGTACACACTAAATAGTTAATCTTTGCAATCAAAGTTATAACCACTCGCCTCACAGACTAAAAGTCATATTTGTTTTTCGTAAATTGTTTTGTAATAAATTAGGCCGTTAGTTTTCTCAGTTGAATTGTTTCATATTTTTCATGTCGGGCCTTTTATAGCCGACTAAACGGTATTGGTTTTCTCATTGTTGAAGGCCGTATGGTTGCCCATAATTGCTTACATCAACTTCATTTCAACTGTTGTGGATAGTTGTCTCATTGGAATTTATACCACATCTTCGTATTTGTCAATCTAATTAAAATATAGAACTCGTTCGTATAAAGTGTAACGAAATCGGAGTTATATATTTTAATTAGATTGCGTATTTGTGTATACATATACAAACAGTTTAACTAAATGGTGTATTAATGACACCTCCAAATAGAAATAATCCAAGAAGTAATGCACAATGTGATACGAATTTGAAATCTGGACTTTAACTTAAACCAATAACAGGGACTATAAAAGTCAATGTCCTTTAAAACTGGATAGATTTACAAAAATCTTTTCACTAAATCGTCATGGAAACAAGAAAATGAAACCCAGTGGGGAATTTCGAAGTGGTGTTTATTTATATATCCAGCAAAGGCGAATAGTAGTATTCCAGCAAGGGTTTGTGGGTCCAGAGAGCCTGTCCACAACATACAGAATGCAACGCTGGAATCAAATATACATTCATGAAACAATAGTCACGGATAACAAATGCTAATTTTCATAAAAAAATCCATACAAAAAATTATACAAGCGAAATATCAAACAAATTAAAATACCTTGAGCACATTCAAATTTTTTTTAAAGCAGTCTTGAAAGTCACATATTAAACAAATACAATTACTGAAGGTATCATAAAAATGATGCAAAAACCTCGCACAAACACCACGATTACCAGGTTCATAAAGCTTATCTTACGTTTCAGATATATATGACATTGTGATAAAAGGACGTACCGGTATACATATGTATATGGGAATTACTAAAAAAAGTATAGCACTGCATTTCAAAATGACTGTTGAGAAATATCAATCAAAATTTGCAATATACATGAAATTTGCGTCCAATTCTTAAATTAAATGTCCTGATCTTAAGACATTTCTTTCTTTCTTTTTTTTATTACTTTTCTTTGACCATATTGAATTGTTTTAGCGTGCATTACTATCACCATATTAACTTGAACAATTAAATTTTGGGGGTCTTCAAAATTAGAAATATGAGGTAAAAAAAACCAGAGGTACTTACCATTCCCCAATTGAAGAAAGCATACTTGAATAAGGTAGAAAATTATCCCACAGCAGGTACTAGAAGAAGCCACCATTTTAACCTGAACTTTAAACGGAAGCACAAATTACACATCACCTTAAAATTTACACATCTTTGTCATATAAACATATGAAAGATCAACTTCCACCAAAATCATTCAAATTGCTGTTATTTTTTACATATCAATCACACAGTAGCAGCAAGGTGTTATTTATTTGTAAATATTGAAAATGGACAAGACAACTCATACTATATTAGAATATTTTATATGCTTTCATTATGCGAATCAAATTACAGTACAAGTATAAATGTATTCATAGGTAATCGTTGAAGTATTCATTATTCACATTAGAAAACTTCCTTGTTTGATTTGACCAATTAAATTTGTTTATTTAAAGGGAAGTCGAATCTTTATACTATATTATACATTTTTACAACTGTACTGCATGTACATGAATAATAGGTAGATATGCAAGGCAAACTATAATATAACGATTAGGACAGCCCGTTCATAGAGTGGAAATGATATCTGTTACTTTAAGTTTGCACCAGAAGTCAGCTCATAAAAATAAAAATAATAAGTATATTTTGTAGACATTGAAAACTCTGGGGTCGAATGTAAAAACATTCATAATAACGTTGGAGCATTTGCTAATCAGTTCATTTTAAATTTATAAAAACAAACCATGCTAGCTGTATATCAGTGGATTTTATCAACAGAAACACGTCGGGTGTCACTAATGGAAAGGATGGCTGACCGTTTTTTTCTGAATTAATATATTATGTCCTAGGTCTCTGTTCTGTTACTAGTGCATGTCTATCTATTCATATGTTTAATTCTTCAAACTTTGGGCCTTTTTTGAATGTGGAATGACTTATATATACTAGTAGCGCAGAAAAATGAAAATTGGTACCGTTAATTTTATTATATATCTAATCTTCTTGAAACTGGATTCAAAATTAGAGAAAAGGTACCAAAATGCATGAAAAATTGTTTAAATTATTTAAGATTAGCACACAATTATCATCGAAATATTTAATTTTATTTATGAATTCACAGATACATGTACCACATCCAAATTTTTATCATTGCTATTTTTCGTTTCTGAGTTTTATCCACGTACAGTAGTATTAAAAGCAATGATCAAGAGCGAATAATGTTAACGCAAGTTATGTATCAACCAGTTTGTACTAAATACATATCCACTGAGTATCTTTATTTATAGAAAATATAATTTAAATAGTAAAGAAGCCAATGCTCTATTTAAATTAAATGACGTAAGTACGTATTATGATGTTTTCAGACTTCCCGGTGAAAAATAAAACATGGACACAACAAATATCGTATTTGTTTTCATATTGATTCGTGTAGGCTTATCACTTAATTCAAATGATGACGGTGAGTAAAAACATTTTTTCTTCTTCTTCTTTTTTGTTTGTTTGTTTTTTTTATAAAACATTCTGTCTAAAATTACGTCATTCCTATATGTAATTTTATATAATCTCATTACGTATTGCATAGATTTATATAATAGTTGTCCATACTTATCGTCTTTTGAAATAAGCCCGTCACGATATACATCCTAAAACTATATTGGTGAAACTATTTTATTCTATTTAGTTTATGTCACAAAATCATTTTCTTATCTAATTACAGTTACACCTACATCATAGAGCACGGAATAATCAATTTGAATACTATTTTGGCGTTGTTTTTTTTTTTAGATATTCGGAGTGAAAAGTGACATTAACTAGATCTTTCCACTTTTCTGTGGAAAGACCTTTTGCTTTTGTTGTGATTATTTTTTTCCGCCTTATTTTTGTCTTGCGTGGTATTGTTGTTTCAAAAGATGTCTCTTAGATTTTTGGTATAATAATGATATCGAAGAGTCTATACGCTTTTGAAACTGACCCTATTTAACCGAACACTTTTCTTTGTAAGAGTAATCTCCCCGAACATTGTTTTTCCTGTTATAACTTCTCCTTCTATATTATTAAAAGAAAGTGACAAATTTATTTTTCCAAATTGCTCGTTATATCCTCAGAATGCTACGTTTAATTTTGACCGAAGCGTTCCGGAGACTCCATATTAGAGTTATTTCACCTTCTTAACATAAGTGAAATGTTTAGGTAACTCATAAACCATAAGTCATAGAGATCTAGTTTTTTTTTATTTGAAGTCCTTGGTCCACCAAAATGAAAATGAGGTCAAGGTCAAAGGTCAAAGTCATATTTCAAATTTTGATTTTGGCTCATTTTCACTTACTATCAGAAACCGTATGAGATAGCAACAAACTATTTTTACTATTTTGTTAGTTGCGACATGTCGTTACAATTAAATTTTGGTTGAAAGGGTACGTTGCCATTTAATGAGAGTTTTCTCCACTCTTATATTTGCAATAAGCTGTATGGTTATATAACTCATTACCAATATATAGAAGAGACCTTGACTCTTTTGGTTTGAGGTCCTTGCATTATGACCTTGAAATTGATGTCCAAGTCAAATGTGAATTTGACGTTCTAGATTTTGAAATTGTATGTACCTCCTCATTGGTACATGATAAAGATATGGGGTCTTTTACATTGAGTTTCAGACATATAACCTCGAAGTGACCTTTTGTAAACCAGAAGTAGCCATTTTTGCATTATTTTCATACGAAAATTACTAGAGCTTTATATATTTGGAATCAGTGTGAAGTAAGGTTCAATTAAATGAAACCGGAAGTGAAATTTAGAAAACTGGAAGTATAAATTCTTTCTCCCTTATTTTACGCAAAAGTATTTAAAAACCATATATTTTCAGAATCAGCGCTAATTACGCTATTATCTGACACCAGAATTGACATGATAAACCGGAAATAAATTTTTTCCTAACATGTGCATTTGTGGTGGAAAGACCTTCAATTGTTCTTTATGGTTTTTAATCATAAAAGTTTTTTTTATTCAATTTGAATGAATTGCTATTTTTTGTTTGTACTATACTGTACTCTTACATCAGTCATGTACACTTGTTTGACGAAGCCCGTTAAGCTGCGTAAATATGTAGCAACATGTGCATTGATTTGCGATATAAAATTAATTTCTGGTGTGGGAATTTCCAGGACATTTGACCACATAATGTCTTGTGGCTACTTTTCCTAGTGAATAAACTCATCAAAAATACCAGGATTGAAATTTTGTACGCGTTTCATCCCCAAAAAATCTCACCAGTTACGCTCGAATTAATAAAAGTTAAAAAGGCCAAATAAAGTACAAAGTTGAAGAGCACTGAGGACCCCAAATTTCTGAAAGTGTGAGCGTCCATTTGGCTCTGTAAATAATCAACCATGTCCCGTTGGAGGTTATGTAACGATATGCAATATAATAACAAATACTGATACCAAATGGATCCAAAGATTGTCGTAAAACATAGTTCAACCCGCCATTTTCAATATCATGTCAGGACAATCACATTTCCCCGTATGCTTTAAGCTTTATTTTATTTACTATATGTGAATAAGGCAAGACATTTGTAACACGTCTGAAAACCATAAGAAAAAAACGGTCAACGATAAATTAGAGGCAACGGTAGTTTACTTATGTTCAAATCTCGTAAACTCACTTTGAATATACAAGTCAAGAAGAAAAAAAACCTGATGCACGAATTTAAAACGGAGCGAGAAAATTGAAAACACCTGTTCATATACAAAGTAATTTAACAACGACATCAACAAAAGTATGCCACAAATTGAGTAAAATAAAACAAAGACTTATTATAACCAAAAAGCACCAGGAGAAGTTGGTATGGCAAGGGTAGAACACATGTGTTATGGAAGGGTAGACAGTTCCCTAAGAACTTTATTATTATGCTGACTGGAAAAGATTGTGTTGTTGTATATTACTCTCATTTTCATTAAGTGTGAAATTTTTATTATTTCTATTTTAGAAACGTATCCAGTTTTAATATTCTCTGATACTCATTCAATTGGTTTATTTGATACGAAATCAGACAACGTTACAATATTGGCCGATGGTTACGCTTACATATTGTTTCTTGATTCCCACTATTCCAAACAGTATATCTTTTGGTCGGATTATCACGGAAACACAATTTCAAGGTATAATATGTACACGTGATTATTTCAGGTAGAGATATTCCTAAATGAAAATAACAATTTCGTGCAACAGAAGCTCTTCTCTGGATTTACCTTCATCAGGAACGCTCAAACCCTAACATTTGAAAGCCAGTAATGTATAAACACGTAGAAACGTTAGGAGTTATAAAACTAAAAGGGAATTAAAAAGAATCGCCAAATTCATTCTGGTCAAATATACCTAGGGAAGTTGGCAACTTAGGTTCCGAGTAATATTTTGATGCATTAACGGGGTTGATATGTCTTTTGATTGAGTTAATCTATTTCAATTGATATTTTATAGTGTGTCTTTATATGTTGTGATGTTACACTATTGTTTCAGATAAGGGTGAAGGTTTGGTACCATTAAAACGTTTAAATCCGCTGCAATTGTTTGCACCGGTCCTAAGTCAGGAATCTGTTGTTCAGTAGTTGTCGTTTGTTGATGTGGTTCATAAGTGTTTCTCGTTTCTCGTTTTTTTATATATATGAGACCGTTGGTTTTCCCGTTTGAATGGTTTTACACTAGTAATTTTTTGGGCCCTTTATAGCTTGCTGTTTGGTGTGAGCCAAGGCTCCGTGTTGAAGACCGTACTTTGACCTATATTTGTTTACTTATATAAATTTCGACTTGGATGATGAGTTGTCTCATTGGCACTCATACCACATCTTCTTATATCTATATAAACAGTTTAAATTGACAACGATACTGTACTGGAAGCCAATTGAAAGAACAGAGGTAACAAGTAGACTGAGTAGCATTTTACACGCGTCCTCGGTTATAAATTTCAAATTTGAAAGAAGTTTGACGTAGATGTTGCACGGGCTTGTTTTTCAATGCTAAATGTCCTGTCAAAGAAAACATCCTGAATTTTATCGAAAAAAAGCATCACTTACGAAGTAAGGCGACAATCTGATGTCCCTTATGAATATAACTAGGAATACATCTAGATGAGTAATTGTTTTGTTGGTTTTGCACTTTTCCTTTATTACTAGACGTTCAAATGCCTACTGCAAATCTGTACGACAAGGTTTTACCATACTAATACAGATTTCTGTAAGTCCCAAGTCAGGAGCCTATAATTCAGTGGTTGTCGTTTGTTGCTGTTTATCATATTTGTTTTTCGTTCATTGGTTTGTCTATAAATCAGGCTGTTAGTTTTCTCGTTTGAATTGATTTACATTTGTCATTTCGGGGCCTTTTAAAGCTGACAATGCGGTATGGATTTTGCTTTTGTTGAAGGCCATACGGTCCCGTATAGTTGATAACTTCTATGTCATATTGATCACGGTGGAGAGTTGTATCATTGGCAATCATACCACATCTTCTTATTTTTATAATATGTTGTGAACGAACGTTTGAAAGATGTTGTTTGAAAGATTTATTCCCTTTTTGACAAAGAGAGTAGTCTCTTCACACGTTATTGCTTGAGCATGAACGTCAAGACAAATGCTTTTAGAATACATTTCTATATATTCGTTATTACCATTCTTAGCTTAAAGATTTTTGTTCACCTATAACATAGCATGGACAAGGAAATTTTTGTTTACTTCTGTCCTTTTTTTCTTGATAATTGGAAAGACGTCTAATGACAAAACTCGCAAGCTGCATTTGCAATAATAAGCCAGCTAGGGATTAGACGGAAATAGGACTTGTACTGCCTTCGACCTATTTGAAATAATCTATCATTGGTTCCTCTCCATTAGAATAAGATAAGCAGTAAATTTCTAGAATTACTACTGTTACATTAATAAGACAAAGTTTTCTCAAATTGACCGATTTCTAACTAATGGGAGCCGTACGTTATAAAATATATTTTTTTTTCAATTATTCTTAATTGCTCTCTCTTTGTTGTTTATTTACTTATCTTTTTATGTAGTTTTGTATTTACAATTTCAAATACAAATATGCGTTGTCATCTGGGGTCTAAATACAAAAAGAAAACTCTAGAATGTAAAAATATCTCCTATTGTCAACTATGTGATATGTTAATGATAAATGAGTTCGGGAACAGATCAATAACGTAGTCGGTGATTTGTAGACTGATTCTGCATTTCATTGAAATTTTTAAGACAAAGAACGCATCAACCGCTTCCTTCTTGAAATATATCTGATCAGTGTATCTGAGGTATCCATAAAACAATATATCTGAAAGTGTTGTTGTAATTCTCTTAATTCTAACTTCTTGGAAAGTATTAAAACACAACCTTAACCTTCTAATTCATATTATTAAGTGTCTTACGACTCACATCTGATTGCAGAAGTACACGTAAGAACATACATGTCTATTAATTGCTTTGCTGTCAAGTTGGCCGCCATATTGCACTTCCAGTTTGAAAATTCACAATAGAAAAGAAAAGAAAGCTATAAAAGATACATCTTATTATTTAGTGGTTTCCGGTAATTTCATCATTATCTTGAATGCAACAAATTCCAAAAGGGTGCCAGGCTATATTCAGTGTGTCAGTTAGTCGCACGAACTTTTAAATGGACAGTACTGTTGGGTTAGGGTTTAGAGATACCACTTTACTTTATGATGGCAACATTTTACCTCAACTTACCCAATGGGCCTGTGTGAGCTTTTTCCATCACTTTGTGTCCGTCAGCCGTTGTTGTTCGTTAACTTTTACAAAAATCTTCTCTTAAACATTTGGGTCAACTGGAACCAAACTTGTTCACAATCAATCATAGGACATCTATTTTAAAACATGTGTCAGAAGATTCCGCCTGTCAACCAACATTTCTTCCCATGGCTAAAAATATAACATAGGGGGTAGAAAGCAAATATTGTATATTATCTTTAAAGCATTTTAATCGAGAAAGTATGACAGGACAGAAATGTTTGGAATGTAAAGATCTCCATTCTATTTATTTATACCTATACTGGCAAACGACCACTTACAGGAATCATTCCCTTCAATGACAATTTTCACCATTTATTTTGTAATATTGGCTATTATCTTTAAAAATATACCAGAAAGAGAAAAACTGTAAAGCCAAAAATGATCAGTTGAACATATTCTTCAAATAAGTTAAATTTTCGAAATCGTCTGTTCACTCCTTTTATTGTCTTTGAAAGACGATTTGCAACCATTTTTATTTTTTTGAAGACTCTATTGTAGATACAGTTGGGTGCAGACGAACCATTGCATAAAGTAAACGCACGTTAACGCCGCGTTTGTTTAATTTTTCGCGTTTACCAGTAAACGCGCGTTTACTATAATTACGTTAACGCCGTCAACATGGAAATTTCAAATGTCTACCCGAGTAAACGCGCGTTTAATCTGTGTTTGTTTAGTCAGTAGTAAACGGGCGTTAACTACAGATTTCCCAAGTTTAGTTTTACGTGTATTTGAAAGTAAACGGGCGTTTACTACATATTTCACAAGTGTATTTTTTACGTGCACTTGAAAGTAAACATACGTTTACTTTTCGAGTTAACTTATTGTGTAAATTATAAAATAATCTTCGTGTACATTTGTACATTTCTTTATTTTGTTAAAATGACTTTTAACAGAATATTTTACGTATATGTAAAACCGTAACAATTCAAAAACACTTTTTATTCGAAATATCAACATTCATTAATTACAAAAAATCTGTTCCAATAACTTTGAATAGCGGATTTTCTATATTTTCTTTTTCATAAGTTGCAAATATCGATTCACAATTTTTTTTTAAAATAATGCCAAAATTAAATACAGCAAAACCATTTGTACATGTAAAATTATGTTTTATACAGTATCATGAGTAAGTAATCAACAGTCTTTAGGGCAGATTTAACCGAGTCATGCTTCAAGAAATGTGCACTATTCCTTGTCACAAAATTGGGTGAATGAAAATCATTATAATATCAAATAGTACATTTGTTTTTGTGTATGAATCAAATAGTACATTTGTGTTTGTGTATGTCCATGTTTACACCAGGCGTTGGGATTAGACTTTGTATAAGGACGGGCGATGTCTTTTTTTGAATGTGAACAAGGGTTAAATGATTAAATACAATCACCAGGGAAAACGAACCTTATGCACTTTGAATAACTACAGTTGTTGGCCTCGCTTCAAAACACAACCATTAAATGTTGAGATTATGGAACTTTTACGAATGTTGCGACAATTTTGCAATTTTAAACTTAAATTTCTTCATTTTTATGTCTATCAATCCATCCTGAGGTATAAAAAGTACTTAATTATTAGGCCAGTACAAGAATATTAGTAAAACAGAGACATATTGTCACTTTTTATTGTTATCGACATGAATATTAGAAACCGTAGACTTATAGAGCTCCCAATTTGTGTAAAAGTGTTGATCCTTAGGGACCAAAAGAACAGAATTCTAATGCCGTTGTATGATATTCTAACAAAAAGAAAAATATTGGCTCTTTTTGTTGATGCCGACAAACAATCAATTCGTAAATATAAAAAGTAATCAATTATCGGGCTAGTACAAGAATATTAAAAAAATCTTGAATTGCAAATTTTTATGTTGTAAATAATAAATGAATGGCAATCGCTCGACACAAAGTTTTGAAAAAAAAAGCAAAATTAAATACATGTAATGCAAAACTATATGCAGATGTGAAAATATTATTTCAGATAGCATCAGGAATAAGTGGTCAACTTTACGGAAAATTTGTCTTGGTCAGGCTTCAAAAATATCATGAATCTGAATTTTGTTTTCGGACCATGTTATCGTTTTAAAATCCATGTCCACTGACACAAAATAAAATAAAAAGGTTTTACGATCCCGGAATAAATATCTTTTTGTTACTTATTTAAGTTTTGATTTTTCAATTAATTTAATACGTGTCATATCATACATTGTTATCGTTAATCTATATATTTGTCGAAAATGTGCAGTGAAACATTTTACGTAGCTAGTCATATGATAGGTCAGTGTATCCATGGTACGATGACAATCTGCGTTAACGCGCGTTTACTACAAACAGTAAACATGCGTTTACTTTTTACAGAAATAGAAGACGCGTCTTTTTCACGTTAACGCGAAAGTAAACGCGGAAGTAAACGCCCGTATACTCTTTACAAAACTAAAAGACGCACCTTTTTTTTTGCGTTAACGCGGAGGTAAACGCCCGTTTACTTTCATGTCTACTGAAATTTTGGAGTTATCGCAAAGTTAACGCGGCGTTTACATTAAGTGCACGCGATTACACTCGGAGTTAAATTTTTCCGCCCGTCTACATGTAATGCTTAGTCTGCACCATAATGTAAATGGAAACTGTGAAACAAAATGGATCACCAGTACATTATCTACAAATAATTCAGTAGGCCAAAGTCAACAGTCGATTTATTGAAGTTTCTGCCATTGACAGACCCTTTTAATCTACATTTTTATGGAAAATATAGTAGATAGAGTTGTACTGTATATGTCAAAAATGACTAGAAGGACAAGATCTACCATTAAGGCAACGTGACCTAAATCGTCAGTTGACTCCTTATGAGAGTTATTTTCCTTGCATGACTTTTTTTGAACCATTTTGTGTTATTTCTGCGTAAACTATAGTAGATGGTGAGAAACTGAAAAAGTTAAAATTATCAGCTAGACACAAGCGAACTACAAATCTGTCAATCTTGGCGAAATTGGCAGTCTACTCCTTATACGAGCTATTGCCCTTACAGTGGGAGGAGGATATAACATTTTTTCTACTTTGAAAAAAAAAAATGAAAACAACACGTTATAAATTGCATGCGTCCGAAGCGCTTTTCTGGATTTGCCTTCATCAGGAACGCTCAAAGCCGAATATTTGAAAGCCAAGGATGTATAATAACCTAGACAGTTGAAGAGCTATATAACCAAAAAATATTCTCATTGCACTGTTTAAATTTATGCAAAATTGACAGATTATATGATTAATGCGTTTCTGTACAATGCATGAACAAGCGTAGAATCTTAAGGGAAGAATGATGTGAAAAAGTAAAACATCAGTCTGTCTCAACATAAAACATTCTAAAAAATTCTTTGTGCTAATAGTAGCTAAGGTTATGACATATTGCACGACTCGAAGGAATACAGAAGGAGACAGTTGATTTCAACATTATTTAATACAACGACAAAGCAAGAACCGCTATTGTATTATCGAATTTATTAAAAGTGCTTTGTTGATGACACGACTAATAACATATCTTTCTTAAATGTGTCCGTTCATAAATTGAGAAATAATAAAGAAACTAAGGTTCCAACTTTTTTAGGCAAAGATATACGGAGTTTGCTATTTTTTTTAGGTCCCTCTTGGTCATAAAGCTTTCCACGTGTTTCAGTACATCATTGGCTCTAAAAGATTTGGTTTAAAGCCTACCTAATGAAGGAAACTCCAGAAAAACGCCTCAGACGCATACATTTATAAATTTTTATTTACAGTTTTTATATTACTGGATCGGTATAACGGCTTGTGGACTTTTAGTTCACTTGGGTGTCACTTGATCAGTAGTCGGTGCGTCGATACTGACATGATTTATGGCATACTTTTTAAAAAATTGTCCATTAATAAATTTTGAAATTATAACGAAAACAAGGTTTCAACTCCCTAAGCAAAATTGACCTTAGATGGATATGGCTATTTTATTTTTAATTTCCTTTTTATCGTATAGCTCTTTGATTGATTCTGTACTGTTAAAACATCATTGGCTTTCAACTGCTGGTTTTTGGCTTTGAGCGTTCATGAAGAAGGTAATTCAGGAAAGCGCTTCAAACGCATAACATATATAAAGTGTTGTTTTCATTTTTTATTAGGTTATTTTAAGAACTGATATGAGTTAATTTAGAAAAAAATATGCAGTTAAATACAAAGGAATTTGATCCTTCTTTTATTGTGTGTGTTTTTTTATTTTTTTTTTTATAGATTTCAATATCCAACTGAGGATCGTTCAACACCAGAAGTTATAATAAATGTAAACAAGCCAACGGGTGTTGCTATTGATCCAATAGACGACCACTTATATTGGGCAGTAAAAAGTAACCAGATATTCAGATCAAACTTCGATGGAACAGACTCAACCATAATAGTTAATAACGTGAATTTTCCCTTGGATGTAGACCTTGATATTAGCAACAGGTAACTATATGAACTTTTGAAAATAGGTATTATTTAAATTTTGAAAATATGCTTCCTTGCACTTGTGATGAAATAATGTCATAAACAATTTCTTTTATTAAACTTTGTGAATGTTCATTTCCCTGCAGTAACCGTTCAACAAATAAAAATAGAGAAATACCTATTCTTTATAGGAAGGGGAAATTGTGAATTTTCTAAGGTTTAACTTATTTTAAATTTATATTAAATTTGGCAGTAATCCACACATTTAACTCGAAGCCGAACATACGATTATAAAGATTTCACCATAGCTTCAAATTTAATATTATTTTCATTTTGTAGTATCAAGGTACATGCATCGAGCTTATCAAACTGCTTGTAGAAGTGAACAAATGTGTAGTAGAATTTCAGTTTTTGTTGAATAATGTGCGATATGGTTCGTGTTGCCCAGTCTTTGTTGTGTTATGTTTAAAGCTGTTTATCTTTTGGTCATTTTTCGTTTTTTGCTATGGCGTTGTCAGTTCATTTTCGACTTATAAATTTGAATGTCCTTTTGGTATCTTTCGCCTCACTTTCAAACATGTTCACAAAGTTCCAAAATCATGTTCAAATCATTTTGAAATGATTTCATTATCCACTTAACATTTCGTTTTGCATTTCGATTCTACAGCTGACAATCTTCTAGCACCGTTTTAGCTCCATGCCTTTTCTGCTTTTAAAAGTATGCTGAGTATTCTTGGCGTAATGTGGTTTTATGAAATTATTTATCGCGTCTATAAACGATTCTTGCTTTGGGAAAATATATGCGCGCAGGAGCATATTTTTCATTCATGTTTTGGCTTTTGTGAATAATGACTCTGATCAAAACAGTAGGATCAAAACTTCAGATACACTATCATATGATATGTCAGTCAGTTATCTTTCGAACTGTGGCGTTCATATCGCCAACAGGTGAAATGTCGTTTACCTATTAAGAAAGTCTGATGAGAACGTAAAAAGGACATATACTCATGTTTCTATCACCGGTCAAAGTTATAAAGGCATACATCTTTTGCACCTTGAACGGTAGACGATTGTTCAAAATATCGAATTAAAATATGAACCCATGATTTGAAAATAACATTTTACCTGCGAATGTAATAAATAGTCATTACTTTTAGGGTTCCTCCCTTAGAAGTACAGAATGTAAAGTTTTGTCATTTCAACAGATGTTGTATTAGGAATATATTGGGACTTCAACACACTCCTCAGTATTCAAATCTAAATCATCATTAATAAAACATCAATCATTTACTATTGTTATATTGACGAAGGACTTATATTCTTCAGAAAGTAGGTTTTACATTCGTTAAATAGCTCAAATAAAAATATAAAATAAATGTGTATGAAGCAATTATCAAAATTTTAGACTGTACAAACAGGAGAAATGTTTTGCACAACCTTCATCATCATCAGAAATGTATTTGATCATTTTTATTTAGGTTGATGTTCTTCGTAACTGCCTCTAGAGAAATTTGGAAATGCAATTTGAATGGAAGTGAATGTAATGTAGTCGTTGATTCTACCAAGATAATGTTTACTTCCGAACACATAGCATTAGGTAAAAATTACCTCCATTAATTATAAGGAATACTTCAACATTTTCGTATGGGAGATGCGTCAGTGACTGTTGAATCAACACAATTTGAAAGCCCAAGCTAATACGAAGTTGAGGAGAATTGAATCCGAAAATTCCTAAAAGTAATGCCATTTTTTTATGAGACCATATATACAGAAAACTAAAATATTGATCAATATACAATTTTAAATAGATATTAATGAAAAAGCATATTAATCTACCTTCTTCATGAAAAAATGAATGATTAAGACAATGAGACAATGTGACAACTACGTTAATCTTCAATGACCAAAGGATGTGAATTTATCAATTTTCTTTTTGAGAACGTATTTTTTAAACAATTGGCACTGCTATGGCAAATAGCTTTTCTTGCAGACTTGTTCCTTTTTTTTATTTAAAGCAGACTTTATATGCAGTGATTTCTCAGGAAGAAAGAAAAGACGCTAGCATTATCATTTAAATTCACATTCCGATATATAAAAGCTATCATATAACTGAATAATTCAAAGTTTGTTGACTATGTTTAACGCATCTCTCCCATAGAACTTAAAATAAAAGATACCACAGATGCAGTTTAATATGCCTTATATCTTGATATACATCTAGAAATTGACAATGTAGGTCGGGTGAGAACGAAACTTTACGAGAAAGGGATCATTTCATCTTCCCAATTTTGAACTTTTCATTTCTTCTTAGAACATTTGATAGCGCCTGCATATTTAATATATACCTCCCAGTTGATACGATATTCAATATCTTGCTTTCATATCACGATTTTCTTGAAAGACGGTTGCTGCTTGCATGGAAGGAATTTAACCAAGGGTTCCAATCGGTATATTTGAAATAATCCCTTCGAAAGTTTAACGGAAGCTATTCGTGTCACAGATGACCATGGATAAATATTCTTCAATTGTTGTTACCGCAATCCTGTCTTCTTTTCCTCGATTCTGACATCTCAAAATTAGTATACCAACAAATTTGTACTGATCATGAGCAACATGACGGGTACCACCACAACTTACACGTTTGGAGCACGTGATATCACCTCCAGTTTTTAAGAGGAGTTCGTGTTGCTCAGTATTTATTTTTCTATATAGTGTATTTTGTGGACTTGTTTATTGTCGTTTCCCGTTTTTTGCAATTGCGTTGTCAAGATTATTTTCGACGTATTAGCTTTGAATGTCCCCTTAGTATCTTCCAACTATTTTTTTGCCATGCCATCGTTATCACATTGCTTTTTCTTATAGAATGTAGGAGACCTCCAACTTGAGAAACTCATAGTTTTAACAAAATCTTACGTCAAACCTATTTTGTTAGTTTTGGATTGACATCATTTAAAATTTCGGGAAGTCGCCCACAAATTTTTATCGAGATTGCGTCAATTTGTTCTATCATATAATATAATTTGACTGAAGCAGACTACACTGCGATAAAGATGCAAATAAGAAAAACACCTCTGATTTCTGCTATTTGATATTTAATACGTTTTATCACGAGTTGCTTTTAATCAGTATGTGAAAGTATTTCATTTGTAAATGAAATGAAGTATGCATTGTCTTTTCAGACTTTTATGATGACAGGATTTTTTGGACATATATTCACCAATATTCACCAATTTCATCAACATTATTTGACGGAACTGATTATAGGGAGACATTAGCTAGTGCATACCAGGGATATGGTCTTGACTTCAGCGCCACTCATATTTATTATGCAGATTGGTTTAAAGGCATATATAAAATAAAAAAGGCTAATTCGACAACATCTTCACTTTTGTATGGGAGTGTTGTGTCAGCCATGAAAATATTTAAATCTGAAGGTATGATATTTTCATCTAAAAATGCTATTCCACATCATTACTTTGTGTGTTTAAAAAAGTATAAACATTGTAGTATTGCCAGACAGTAGAACTATTATTGGTAAAGTATTACAGTTGTGGCACGAAAAATACCCATCTAGTTCAACCCATTATAGTAGATTGCTACTAAAGTAAAACAATGTTAATGCAAGACTTTTCAACCTAACTTTTTACCTTTTTATTATTTTATTATGCAAAAAATGTAATGTCTTTAGGGTCCTTTATCGTCACCCGAGCAGTGCAGTTTAACTAACATATGTCTATTCTTTGTATTTAACATGTTTGAGTGACTAAATTGTACATGTTTGCACAGACAAACGGGAACACCACGATTGTCAATGGCACTCATTAATGCGAATTCGTCTATACTATTACTAATATCTATTTGGATGATTGGTTGTTATTTGCTTAACTTTCAATGGCTAATACCACCATTCGAATGTTATTACTTATGCAACTATGGATACATAAGATATGAGACAATATTACTTTGAATCGTCTGTGGAATGAAACAAAAACAGGAGAAAACAATGTTACAGCAATATGGTAGAAAAAAAAGTAAAATAACAAAAATACAGAACTCAAAGGAAAGTTCAAATCGGAAAGTCCCTTATCAAATGGCAAAATCAAAAGCTCAAACACTTCAAACGAATGGAAAACAACTGTCATATTCCTGACTTGGTACAGGCGTTTTCTGGTGTAGAAAATGGTGGATTAAACCTGGTTTTATAGCTTGCTAAACCTCTCACTTGTATGACACTCGTGTAAAATTCCATTATATTGACAACAATGTGTGAACAAAACAAACAGACATCATATGTGAAAATGTCAAAAATAGGGGTACAACAGTCAACATTGTGTTATAATCTTAATCACTATAAAAACCAAAAAATATGTTAACAAAGAAAAACAAAATGGCATATAGACAAAGCACATAAGCAAAAATGAAAAACAAGAATACTAAAAATGACAACAGCACAACAACACAATGGCGGGATGCATAAATACCGAGCCACGCCAAAAAGGATATTGAATAAATAAAGGCAACAGTAGTATACCGCTGTTCGAAACTCATAAATCGATAGAGATAAAATCAAATCCGGATTACAAACTAAAACTGAGGAAAACGCATCAAATATAAGAGGAGAACAACGACACAACAAAAACACAACATTCAAATGTAACACACAGAGAAACGAACTATAATATAACAATGGCCATTTTCCTGACTTGGTACAGGACATTTTAAGAAAAAAATGGTGGGTTGAACCTGGTTTCGCGGCATGCCAAACCTCCCGCTTTTATGGCAACGTCAAACACAACACCAAAACGACAACATCACATGACAGGACCACCATACAAATAAATGGGAAAACATATAGGACAAAGAAACACACGAATAATAGCTAGCAGAAGGTACTAGGCATAAAATTCAATACGCCAGACGTGCGTCTCTTCCACACAAGAACAACCAGTGACGCTCAGATAAAAAAAGTTTGAAAGCCAAAACAAGTACAAAGCTGAAGAGCACCGAGGACCAAAACTTCCAAAAAGTTGCGCCTAACACGGCCAGGATTTTCTGCCTGGGACAAGAACATCCTTATTATTTAGAATAATTTATAATTTTGCAAACAGTAAATTTTATAAAATGACTATATAATAGATATACATGATAAAACCAAAGTGGGGACTAACTACAGAATAAAAACGGATACATTACATAAAACAACTTAATCCAACATATAAAAATACACAGCCGTATATCATGTTATGGAGGGGTATTTGCGAAAAATACCAGTCAAGGGAAATTAGGTCCCAAGACTGGTATTTTTCGCAAATACCCCTCCATAACATGACATATCTGTTTAAATACACCGAATAGAGTTTGATTGAAACTCTCTGTACAGGTGAAGGGAAATCTTTTTTTTACTAGTAAGCTGTAATCCAATAACATGTTTATGCACAATTTTGAGGATAATTAGAGATTATCATAGTACCGATATAATTATTAAGGGGATTTTGAGGCATATTCATCGGCAGTGGTGAAAAACAGGCAAATTCGTTGGAAATCATGAAAAAAGGTTAGAATATGCGAAACATACACTGGCTACCAACCAATCAAAATCCGGCATTCTTATATAAGGTGTAATTATACCAAAAATGGACTAAACAGTAAAGGTTAATAATTTAGAAAGACAAATAAAAGAACACTATAACACGTAATAAAGATGATAAACAAGGTCAGTACCTAGAATCTTTACTTCAAGACCATCATGTATTTTTTGTGAAGTTAATACGGAATATTTATCAACAAGGTCTTGGTACCTTCCGATGAACTTTTTTTAGAAAAACGACGAGACGTTCTTTGACATAACCCTGTTCATCAACCTTCTGCTCAGACTCTGGTGATGTTTTAGAAAGTCTGAGTAGCAGCTGCAAGCTTTTGAATACCGAATGAGTTGGGAAATGTATATCCCATATGCAGGTGAAGTTGGTATATTGCTATAAAAAAATTATTGATCCATTGTTTTGTTTTCTACGCTCAATGTTAAATATTTAAACGAGGACAAGATCAACATTTTTTTGATTGTGCGAATATGGAGAAAGGAAGACAATTAGAAAACAAGTACACGTTTGATTAGATAAAAACAGTACTATAAAACAAATCGCCATGTGCCACCTCCGAAGAGCTGTCGTTAAAATAAAACATTCAGGGAACAAGCAATTGATCTGACACAGGCATAATGTTCAACAACTACAGACCCGGCAAAACAGTTCTACTTCTAGTCAGAAATCCAGGTTGTCCAACTCATAAATGAAGATGTATTCTTCATATCTTTGCTACACTCAAAGGGGTCGATAATGGTTCGATCCCATACTGATTTAAACCAAAGACTTTTAATATGGTATTTTCTCTTTCTCCGCAAAACATGCGGCATTATGGTAATGATCAAATACTAGGTGGCTCGGAATAACTAAAATGCATTTTAGCAAGGTGATATGTCCTCCTGTTGACTGTAACAATTTGAGCTATAACGTTTACGTGTCTAGTAAAAAGCAGGATATACTGGTGTATTATTGGTAACATGTTATCATCTATAGTACGGATGTATTTGTTGCATATGAACGTTAGGTTGCTATCAATTCATCAATCACATAATAATCTGTGAGTTTCTACTTTTCTTTTCACCTTTTTTTTACTTAGATGAATGCTTTACATACAAATTAATAGAAAAACAAGAGGAAAGGTCAGCAGACTTTGAAACAGAAATGTCAAACTATATTCCAATTAGTGACGAAAATTTAGAAGAAGCATGGTATAGGATAAAAAGTGAAAACGGAGATCAAATTCCAACATACCCACCTGGTGCTTTTCATTGCGGGACTAATTATCCTGTTTGGATGAATGGTAAGAAAGGTGTCAATGGTAAAAGTAGTGTAATGTTCACTATATCAAAAGAAAGAAATTGGAATATTAACTACAATAAGCAAAGTAAGATAGTACTTTAGGTATTCAGTTAACTTATAAAAAAGAAAAGATTGCTACGCCATAGCGACAAGCCTCCTGCTGCTTATAGAAAAGATTTCTGATGCTTTCTTAGAAAAAAAAACGGATATACAGATTACGGTGTCAACCCAGTTTGCAGAAATTGCTATGATCAGCTGTAATTGCCATGACAATACAGATTTTCCTGTAAAGTTACACTGAGTGTTGAGTAAATTGTAAGGCAGTTTCAGGCGTCACTATATATGTTTACAACAAATCTCACTTAATAAATGTATGAAAGCTTCTACTTATTTCAACCCGTGCTAGCCCCCATGAGTAGTCAAGGTCGTTAAACACCCCCTAGTAATTAATTATGTCCTCAGAGGTTGTGTATTCACCAAGTGTCTTTATAAGATAGGAGGCATCAACATGATCCGAAACATTCCTACTAAGATGGAAAATGTTTTGATAACGGCATCAGTGGAAAAGCGTTCACAAGCGGTCATTATGCTACAGTAAGCCAAAAATGGTGAAAATAACAAATTCCGCAATTATTGTCATATTTATAAACGGTGTTACGTCTCAAAACTCTAGAAGAGGTGGTCAAATCAAAATATCAGTACATTATGTTCATCTCTATTTAACTTTGCACCAGTATGCCAAGTCCCCTGCTTTAAGCACAAATTGTCATATCATTATGGCTGTACAGTGCGGTCTTATACGTATAATGATAAGTGATCTCTCAAAATACAAAAGCTTTCAGAAATCTCAGAGAAGTAGTGCTGATAAGGCGTCATTATGCTTCAATTGGTTTCAACATGATCAAAGTATCTCATAAATAGGAAAATAAAAATGCAATATATAATTTTAGTCTAGTTTAGTTGTCCTATCAACATTTCTTCTGTTTTTTTTCCATCACATTCCCTTTCATTCATGTGAACAGAAGGCTTTAAAGAAATTACGGTGATGTTTAAAATTAACTAACTAAAACCACTAATAGTTATGCCAAAAAAATCTAATAAATGATATTAGAGTACTATGTTTTCTTTTGAAAGTGCTTGTACCAACTTAGGAATATGACAGTTGTTTTCCGGTCGTTCCGTTGGTTGGTATAGTCGAACGTTTGGTTTTGTCAGGTTTTATGGATTTCCCCGTTTTGACTTTATATTGGACTTCGGTATTTTTTAATACATTTCTTTATTTTTAGGAACATTTCCAATCGTTTCTGATGGTAATTTGACAGTTGCAGCATGTCTTCAAACAGAGAACAGCACATGTGAAACGTCTTTTAATGTTCAAATCAGAAACTGTGGAAATTATTTTATTTACTTTTTACAGAACACTACAAAAAATGCAGCTTATTGTTTTGGTAATACTTTATTTTTAATATATATATCACATTTATCAATTGATCAACAAAATGTTGTTTTTTCTTACATTCCAAAGTTTAATACATTATGCGTTTATATATATATATATATTTATGTTTTTTTGTGGATTTGTGTGCATTAATTTCCTAAGAACTTTATTTCATACTGAGGAAAGGGATTCATAATCTTTTTATGGTTGTTGACATTTCAGTTTTAATGAATTGAAATGACGATTCTTGTGTTTTTCTTTTCTACAAAACGTATAGCGTTTTTGATATAATTAGAAAATAATGTATTTTGAATTAAAACAAATTATATCTTGGAGTAAGATCATTATAAAATGTAAATTAATGTCAATATGGTTCTTTCTCTCCTCCGATCACCTGAAGATTTGAAACGTTATCTGACCTCCGCGAATACTTAAAGACTTCAAAAACAAAAATATCCTTATCTTCGAGGAATTTAGCAAATTATTTTTATTGGATGGAGAAAACCTTACAAGATACATTAAGATTTACATAATACAAAAGAAATGAATTGTCTGCTTGTACAAAAGAGTTACAGGGAAACATAAGAATTCGATATTAATATCCGAGATAAATCATAACAGCAAGATTTAGAAAAATTGTCTTTGCTTTTTGATAAAATATCGCTGATCCTTTTCATTATTTATTAATTTTAACTTAAGGTAATGGACCAGTTCTTTGTCAAGATGGGCTGTCATCTGAATCTGGATACTATCCCGGATGTTCATGTAAGTGATTAATTATTATTATAAGTACTAAATTTCGTGACAAACATGTAATCGGTGTGTTGTCCTTCAAGAACAATATTTTTTGAATACATATTTTTTTAAGATGTTTGTTGACAATGCATCTAGTAATGGGATAATTTTTGGATTTTTAGCGTATCTGATAAAGGTAAATTCCAAAAAACGTTTCCAAATGTATTCAGCATTTCTTACATTTTTAAAAAAGTATCGGCTTTTTGTTAATAACGTTGTACTTTGTAAATTTAATTTTTTAAATTTAAAATATGAGCAAATTCTTTAATCATATTGGTTTTTTACAAGGTGGTTTCCAAAATGTCAGGAATTGGGATGCTTATTTCCTGGATTTTTCTCACTAGATCAAAAATCTGTTGTTTAGCTAAATTATTAATAAAAATAATAATAATTATAATAATAATAATAATAATAATAATAATAAAAGTAAACGACGAGTATTTTGGATATTTCCTTGACGGAAATTTGATGATTGACATAGGAGATTATACTGGTAGTTATTAAGTTATTAGGTTAGGAAAATTGCTCCTATACGTGATTAAAAAATTACATAGCATACATGATGAATAACATGCGATTTGATATTTTGTTGGAATATATTATACATATATCTATGTCCAATGAACAACTGAATTATGTAAACATGTTTAAGCGTTTTAATGTGTCCTTGTGGGTAAGCAGGAAATTTACTTATTCATATTTGGACCGAAATAGACAAAATGCTTTTGTAATGGTACTTTTCATCTGTTTCGCTTCTTATACATCCTTGGCTTTCAAATATTCGGCTTTGGGCGTTTCTGATGAAGGTAAATCAAGAAAAGCGCTTCGGACGCATGAAATTTATAACGTGGAGTTTTTATTTTGTATTCTTGTACATGTTTACATTATTTCTTCCTTTACCCATCCTCATGCCATATTATGCTGATATCATAGCAATATACCAGATGGGAAATTCCTCATTCGCATATTTAAGATCATGAGATCTCTCTATTTGTCCCATGAAAATATGCATCAAAATTACCAGGTTTATTATTTAGTACTCTAAACAATCTCGTTCAAAATATATAAGACTCATTGGCGCTCAATCAAAACAGTTGGAAAGCCAAAGCATATATGAGTTGAAGAGCACTGAATACTAAACAATATAAAATCGAGTCAAATCAAGCTAAGACAATAAACTATTTTGCGGGCAGACAAAAAACTTTTTCAGTAAATGACACTATTTAATGATATTTCATGTCAGCACAGAACTCCTCAGATGGTTATACCCTAGGGGACGATATGTCAACCAGCTGTGGTTTAAAAATCCTATCGAAAAAACTGATGATAATTTAGTACGCAAAATGCGCTTTCCATTTACATAAAAGTTATCCGTGGTGCTAAAGTCAAACCAGTTGGAAGGCCAAACCAATGACAAAGTTGAAAAGCATTATACACAAATCAAATCCAAAACGTTATGACAAATCTGTCTCAGTCATTTATATCTGGGGTGTAAAACCTTGAATATTCGAATAATTTAAAAATGTAATGATCAGTAAATGTCCAAAAATTACCGTAATATCCATACATAGGATATACAGGAAAATCGATCATAAACATTTGAGAAGACTGATTTTAAAACATTATTTTGAAATATTGTGTAAAAAAATGAAAACAACACGTTTAATAATTTTATGCATCCGAAGCGCTTTTCTGGATTTACCTTCATCAGGAACACTCAAAGCCAAACATTTGAAATCCGAGGGATGTATAAGTACCGAAACAGTCTGTACTATTATTTGTCTGTTTGTCTTTTTATTTTTGGACATGGCGTTGTCAGTTTGTTTTCGATCTATGAGTTTGACTGTCCCTCTGGTATCTTTCGTCCCCCTTTTTGAAGAGCTATATGACAAAAATACCTAAAACAAATAGCCAAATTCATCTAAGGCCAACTTTGCCTGAGGGAGTTGAAACATTAGTTTCTTTATAATTTAAAAATTTATAAACGGACAATTTTAGAAAGGTTTGTTAAAATATCACAAGAGGTCAAAATTAGCAAACTGCATTTTAATCATAAGCCAACCAGGATATTTTATCTCATATTCAATTTTGTTGGTTGGTCTAGTTTGATTCAAAAATCGCCTATTTCCAGAAACTATTATTGTTTTGATTAAGCTTAGCTTTCTTACCGGTAATAACCCTTTACAGGTATCGCTTGGCGGCAAAAAGGGAATAATTATTTTTAGAATTTTTTGTTACCAACAACGAACAGAATCCGGATTGTCATGCTTTCACAGCACTAGTTGGTTTATCAATGTCTTAGAGTACGGACATACATTAATGTGTGGTTATAAATGCGGAACCAAAAAAAAAAGTTTTTATTTAACTGACCTCCCTTTGATCTGATTTACAGAAAAAGCAGAGTAGGAAAGACCGTTTCTGTTTTTTTTCTAAATAAGCGTTTGAAAAGAAGTTTGAACTGCAGTCGGGTCAATAGTCATTGCAAATAACACACATACTTGAACATATTTTGTTTTTGTATTAGGGAGGGTTTACATAGCATGATTTTGTAAGGTATTTTTTGACATGCATAGCAAATAATGATATGTAAAGAGTTTACGACTAAGCAATGATATCAATGTCTTATAGACATTCAGATAACGACTCGTTCTATTCCTCATGTCAAGGCATGGTCTATTCACCAATCAAAGGATAAACCCAATTTCACCAACATAACTAATATTATCGTTTTTTGATTTGGTTATGGCGTTGCGTGTTTTAATTCCACTTATATTTTTTGTTTGCCTCTTAAAATCTCCGCCATCCTTTTTGTATGGTAATATTTTTATGCATACTGAAAACACAATCTGTTTCTCATCCCTAATTGATATACGCAAATCACCGTCTTGCGATAATGATATTGAATGAGATGGTAAGAAGGCTATTTTAATTGTTATTTATTTAATATTTTCTTTCAGCATCATTTCCCACTGAAATTGTCACACCATATGTTAATGCTTCACTGACTCAGGGTCAAAGTGAAACTGGTTCTTCGTCTGGTCTTGTACCCATATTTGAGTGTAAGTTTGATGATATACCAAATGGAACTTATGTGTATGATATTTTCTGGTTTATAAATGGAATCAATGTTACCGAGCATAAGAATATACCGTTTGATAACCTTGAAAGTACAGTGCTTAAGGATTCGGAATGGACAAACATCTTTACTATGAATATGGAGGTAATTATTAGCAAATTAATTCATTAGACTGTGTTGCTTTCTTGTGGGTATCTGATTAATGGGTTAAGGGGGAAACTTAAAACAAATAAATAAAAAAATAATTGTAGTCGTCTTGGCATTATATATATCATCAACTTTTTATCAATCATTATAATACCAAAAAATTGTAAAAAGGACAATTTTCCCCAGACATAAAACAAAATCAATTTAAAATAAAATGTTTCGAAACATGAATAACCGCAGTAGTTAAATATACTATTTAAAAAAATTAGAACGAAAATCTATATGAAATTGTAAATAAATGTTACATCGATTTAATTTTTAGGTAACGTGTTCTGTCCGACTGCGATTCATTGCACGTTCCGTTCCAAGTCCATTTCATCGAAGCAAAATCTTCTATGCCGGACTCTATGTAAGTATTAAACTTGAATTCGTTTCGGTTTTATAAATCAATTTGATTAATTGTAATAGTTTTCCACTGTCTATTAAGTTAACACTAGCACGTTTCTTTAAATATGCGCGGAAAATAAGTTCCCTTTTATTGTTGGCATTTGTTCTTATTTTTTATTTCGTTTCCTCATTTATAGAAGAGCAATAAAACAGTTTAAAGTAGCAAATAAAATTCTCATTAGATTGTTTGTATAGATTTTTGTTCAGAGAGTTTTGTAGTGTATTTGTGAATACAATTAACTTATTGTGAATACCAGGATTAAAATTGTGTACGGTAGACGCGCGTTTCGTCTATAAAAGACTTAAATATAGATTATGAAGTGCTATGTAAACCACACAGTTGTGAGTATGTAAGTGCTTATATGCCTTGGGAATTTTCAATGTTCCAGGGAGTGCTTTACATATACATAAAACAATATGCTTATATCTGTACCAATGCAGAAATATTGTTAGTTGATTCAATGCTATGGATTTTCTTCGATTACATAAGTCTTTGAAAGTTTTATGCTTTTGTTTTGAAATATCTAGGCCCTGATCATCACTGAAAAGACATAGCTTGTCAGAATACAAATCTGGTGGGACAAAATTGATACCGTTTAATGTGATTGTCGCTGTCTTGACATGTTTTTACTTTGTTTTTTGATTTTTTGCTATTGTTTTGTTGCTTGTTTTGACGTATTAGATATTTGGTGATGGTGCAGATTATGTGAAAGACTCTATAACAAGGTCAATTTACTATTGTAATACGTTTTGGCCAATATTCCTTTTCAAAATGTCGCATTACGAGCGTTTAGAGTCCCATTTGTGTTACCTAGTATATGTTTTCTTGTAGTCGCATTGGTATTTACCACACCCTTTGGTTCGTTAATTAAGATAAATCATACGTAAACTTATTGACATTTACTGCATATATATGGTTCAATTTTTTGTTGTAGCCTGAAAAGTATGAATATACTGTTATTGAAGGAGAATCTGTCGATATTGCGTTCACTCAAACCGTTCCTGTTGCATGTTTTACATCGAACCATGGATTTCAAAAAAAGTTTTGTACTAAGGACGTGTATACATTTCAGCCTCCGAAAAATGGACCTGTATGCTCTAATAATATTGCAAACAGAGACATTGTATTTAATGCTGAGTTTTGTGGTATAAAGTTGGAAAGCCTTGACTGGGAGAATACAAAATACCTGAGAGTATACGGGTTTAGTGATGGAATATACAATCATCAGGACAGATCGACGTATATTCGTCTTTCAACAAATACAATCTCTGCCTTTCACGACATATGGACAAATCTTAGTCTTTCTGAAATAAAGGTAAGACGACAAGTGAACGATTTAGACCGTAAAATTTCACAATCAAATAACTATAAGATCATGAGGAAAAAAAAATAAACAATAAAGCATTACCGTAACATAAATTGTAAAGGAGAGGCGAAAGACACCAAAGGGACATTCAAACTTATAAGTCGAACCAACAGACAAACAAATGTACACAAAATCACAACATAGAAAACTAAAGACTGAGCAACACAAACCACACGAAAACCGGGGGTGATCTGAGGTGCCCGAAAGGATAGGCAGATCCTGCTCCTCATGTGGCACCTGTCGTGTTGCTCGTATAAGTACAAACTCGGTGAAAGTCGGTAGGTCACATTCGAAAAAAAGGGGACGGGATTGTAGTTATGACAGTTGGAACATATCCGTCGTCATCTGTGAAACAGATATTCCATAAAGATTAGAACATGTAAAACAGAATCAATATTTGCATCCTAAATTAAGACGAAACTATCTTAGTTAAAACAGATGATCAACGATTTACTTACATCACCTCAACTTACTAACTATAATCTAAGGATTTACTCTGCTATATTAAAAAAATAGGTTAGGAGGAATTGGGTTCTATGTACGCGGAAGAAGGTAAAAGAAAACTAATGTCATTGAATATTGTTCGTTTTTTGCCCACATGGTTTGCACAAATATGATGGATGTAAAAAACCCTATCTTTCTATTTGAATACCATTTTTACCAATTGTAGTTGTAATTTGAGCTATCATATTATGTTGATGTGTCGATGTTAATAGTTTATAAGTATACTTGTCTGAATTGTGTTTTTGTTCTAGTTGTAGAGCAGAGACACGTTACGAAAATGTCGCTTATTCAAAGAATTAACCTTTAACACTTCATCATGTTTTTTTTTAAATGATAGTTCAGTATTAATAGTCAATATAATTCTTTGTTGTCAGCTTTTTCTATGTTGCCATGGGTTTAAATTTAGTTTAAGTTATACATAAATAGTACTATAAGAAAAACATATCTGATTACGCCATACTCATGAAAATACTTGAATTATGTACAATTTCAAGATTCTTAATTTGAACAGTTTACATAGTCTTCCCGAATTATTTGCCCTATACATATTTATTTCCTACCAATTTATCTAACATTTATATCGATGTGCCACGTGGTTGTCTAAATGTTTGTATTGGTTTTTTGCATTTTTCAATATGATAGTACATGTTTGATTTTTTTGCCTGATTTATTTTATTAATATTATCCATGGCTATGTTCTTCAATTCAAAGTTGTGGCGTGAACGTCAGTTTGCAAAGAATTCCGCTCAAACAGGTACAAGTGCCGTCTTAAACTTGCTGTGATATGAGAGATTTTTATTGTTTCGTGTTGAAGGACTCACTGTGACTTTGACATGAAGAACAGCATAACAAGGGCTGTTCCATTGCTTTTTGTGTATTTTGCTGTGCATTTACTGATTTTGTGTCATGGATGGATGCCCCATATCCTTTCTTTTCTATTATTAACAGACAAAAAAATTACAACAATGATTGGTCTTGAATAATTGTTTATTATTATTCAACAACACTGTAAACATTGATTGTCTGAAATTTGTATTTTAAATACAATTTTCCAATGCATGCTATACGCTAAAGCAAGATCTGGAATGGACTTCAAACAGTCAAAGCTACCTAAAATCATACAATCGAATACTGTGACAATAAGATGGAAAGAATGTTCAGGAATTCTATTACAAAGATGTCGTTATCATGGTTTTCGATGATTTTAAAGAACAATTGATATATTATTAATCCTAATTTCTAGTAGTGAATTGGTGAATGAAAGTTTGTTGGAGAAGTGTTTGAAAAAATAATCTAAATCTAGTCCACAGGTGATAAAATATGTGTTATGACACAGAAATGTTTTTTCTATACAATTTGCATTAATAAACATAATTCATACCGATATAACATGTTACTTTTATTATTCTTCCCTTAGTTTATTTAGTTTGTATTTACATTGTATCATAGGTCAAATTTATTTGTTCAGTGTATGTTCACTGGTGTTAATATGTCCTTTGATTGAGTTAAGCTATTTTAGTTGATATTTTATAGTGTGTCTTTCTATGTTGTGATGCTACACTATTGTTTAAGAAAAAGGGTGAAGGTTTGGTACCATTAAAACGTTTAAACCCGCTGCATTTGTTTGCACCTGTCCTAAGTCAGGAATCTGATGTTCAGTAGTTGTCGTTTGTTGATGTGGTTCAATAGTGTTTCTCGTTTCTCGTTTTTTATATAGATTAGACCGTTGGTTTTCCCGTTTGAATGGTTTTACACTAGTGATTTTTGGGGCCCGTCATAGCTTACTGTTCGGTGTGAGCCAAGGATCCGTGTTGAAGACCGTACTTTGACCTATAATGGTTTACTTTTATAAATTTTGACTTGAATGGAGAGTTGTCACATTGGCACTCATACCACATCTTTTAATATCTATAAATCCGAAAAACAATCAACTCTTCTTTGTATATTTATGAATACTTTCCGTGAGTTATCATAGGAATCTCTGGTAATTCTGATGTATTCTGATCGAATATTTATGTTAAACAGTCCCAAGAAAATTAAATACGATAACGTATAAAACTATGCACAGAGTAGCGATATTGAATCGTGTAGAAACCAGTATGTTTTGTCATACTCTGCAACAAGGTATTGAATTTGATACCAATGACACAGCAAATAATCAAATGTTTTTAATTGATGATGTAGTTTTCTTGCATAGGAAAGTCACATTGAAATGCGGGTTTAGAGAAGAATAAATGTCTGTAATACTATGCGGTATGGGTTTTGCTCATTGTTGAAGGCCGTACGGTGACCTATAATTGTTAATTTCTGTGTCATTTGGCCTCTTGTGGAGAGTTGTCTCATTGGCAAACATACCACATCTTCTTTATATTATCATTGAATATCGTCTTTTCACGAACAATTGCCAACATCCTTTATTCTAAACCTACCAATACGTTGAGATGCAAAAACTATTTTAGTTATTTATTTAGTTTGAAGTATTATGACATGTTTGCTTATGGCAACATTGAATTCAGGTGCTAGTTGATCGCCTGCCTTGTCGCTAATGATGTCCATGATGTTCATCGACAGTTTGATGGAGGTTAAAACATTTGTTTCCTCCAATCTATCAATAAAAGAAGGAAAAAATGTTTTGATATCGAGTTGACTGCAGTATACACACAGTTGTTCTTGGAATTTCTCTTGACTAGCGGAAGTACCACACATGCTAAGAGTGCGTCCGTTTGACAATAAGGGATGTAAAAATACACATCCAAGTCTAGCTTGAACGGTGACGTTAAATTCTATTTATCGTGTTGAAAGATTGCCACTCTCTCCTGCACGCCGAGGAACCCTTGCATTAATAAATCATGATCAGAAGCACAAGCCCAGTGCTTTCGGTCGTGAAACTTTTTTCCGTTCTCAGTACTCGGTATAAATAATTTGTAGTAGACAAACAAATTCCAGTATTCTGATTGGCGAAATTCTGCGTCTGAATACGATAACTGTTCTCAATCTTTTTATGACCGCAAGGCCTAGAATAGCTTCTCCATATGCAGGTGCTGGAATATTGCTTCATAAAAATGTAAAGATCATTATTAGAAAATTAACATAATTTCTTTTTTCGTATAGCTTATTTCTATGCTGATGCTCACCGTTAAGTTCTAAAAGTCAAGCTATTTAGCAGTCGTACTATGCCTCATATCGGTTATCCTGATCCGAAACCACAGAGGGATTCGAATCCCGAAGAGCAATTATTGAAAACTTTGTAACGGTAGGTAAGTAAAATCAGGATCTGGTTTCCACGGAGTAATTATGCTCCTTGGGAATATGATCCAGATTTTATCTACCCATCGTTACAAAATTTTCATTAATTGCTCCTCGAAATTCGGACCAGGATGCACAGTGTGGTCTGTGTTATACTTTATTACAAATTAAATCGGAATGTGAGATCAAAATTGTCACCAACCTTCAAAATATTCAGTGAAAAGCCAATTTTCAATATAGCGGTACGTGAAATTAAAGAAAAGTTTGCTACCTTTCATTCTGTTAAAAAAAGCCAATATTAATAAGAGATTGTCTGCGAAGCGAAACAATTAGTTTCCATAGGTAGCCAGTGGAAAACCGCATTTACCAAGTTTAACAAATGTAGTGCCAAGGTTATGTTATGAAGTAAATAGATAACAAATCATTTAGTATTATCGTTTTCAACCATTTGCAGCTTTTTATTAGATTTGAATCAATTTTGGAAAGAGTAAAACTTCTATTTTTACGTTAACCACATATCATGAAAAAATGTACTATCAAAAATACCGTACTCATAGGTAAATTTAAAACAGGAGGATGTCAATATACCTGACAAAATCAAACGATATATCACCTTGGTACAAACATTTTATGCGAATAAACGGGGAATAAACCGACGAAATTATTACCATAGCTCAGCATTTTAGCGGACCAGAATTTAGAATACATATTTGTCCATTATATTGCATTATAGTTTAACGTTATATATGTTCAAATATTTTTACTGATCGTGCATTTACCATTTTAGGTCACTGATGAGCGGTGTAATATCTATACCCTTCAATCTGTTACTTGAAAAAATGCATATCTATTTCTAACTTTGAATATTTAACAGATGCCGTCTTATATCGGACAATGTCAATGTAAAAACGATAATTTGTGTATAGGCCTTGTATCAAATATAGGCGGTCAACACGTGACGTCACAATATCAATTGAATTATCTTTTATCTATAGCAGGTATGATATATTATGTTACGTAGGAACTAAACAACTGTTTGATTCTATTAATTGCTTGCATTATTCTGTTCCTACCAAAGGTGAACGTTTTGGATAAGGACTCAACGATGACAGGTCGATTATGCCAGGTCTATAACGATCCTCATTTTCGTACATTTGATGGAAAAGTATACCATTATATGGAAGTTGGAGAATTTGTTTTATACAGGAACAGTAAAGGACCATACTGGGTAAAATATAATGTTAGTTAATTGGCGGAATCAGAAGATAGGAGACAAGGGGAAACTCTTCCTTAACATCAACATTATAAGTCAAAAGAAAGTGTTTATCTCACTACTTCCCCCTGTTTACTTTTCATGTTAAATTTGTTAAAAAACAGCTGGATATTTTGAATTTTTTCTAAGGGTTGGAGTTTTGCTTCACAAATCCAATTTGTTTCTTGTCAAATGTTTGTTCCTCCTTCAAATGTAGTTTTCTGTCTATATTTGGGATATTTCATTGTTTCTTTAAAAATCTTAAGATAGTGTCCGTTCTTTGACATACTTGGGTCTTTTACATCTTTGGTATGAATGTATGAAAAAGTATTCGGTTGCATCGTTTTTTAACTTGTTTTTTAAATCTCAAAAAATAAAATAACAAAATATTTGGATAAAAAAAAAAAAAAAACATCTAGTCAGATAAAATATTTCAATTGTAGGATTATACTGACACTTTGGATACAATGATTTCCGCAGTTGATATACACAGGATAATTTTTTTTAACAAAACATTGATTGTACCAGTTTAACTGAAAGTGGCATGACTTTTTACAAGCATGTCATAAAGGGACTTGTCATTTTACGGGTGGAGGTATGATAAGGATCATTATTTTGCCCCTGAAGTTGCAAAAATGTTATACTTATTCAAGCTTTTCAAAATTTTGTTAATTTTTTTGATAAATGAACAGGTAAATATAATATGGACACTAAAGTGGAATAACGTCTCTTGTGATATCACAATGACGTCATAAACATGTCGAAATTTACATAGTTGACCTTAAATGGCCATTAAACGCATAGTTTTTTGGTCAAAATGTATATTAGCAACATATACTCATTAACATCTTAGTGAAATACATTGTGTAGCAAAATATCTTAAGGGTAAAGTTGTTACTCACATCTAATTACAAGATACAAAAATGATGCTATTTTGCCAGTTTTTGCTGTTTTGCACTTAATATTAGAAGTTTGAAACCCTTATTCGAATCTGCTACACAAAATTCAAAAATATAAATACGGATGTCCGACAGACAAATGTCTCATAAACATCTGAAGGAGGTTTTTAGTAGATATATAATATTTTTTTTAATTTTCAAATCCAATCAGCCAAAACAGTGGCCTGATCGTATCTTCTGCTTAGATATCATCATGACAAAGAGAAGAGACCTATTGTTACGGTCAAACAAATATAATACAAAGAAAATTTGTGTTATCATAACAATTCAAATTTTTGCTGCACAGCACATCCTCATTTTGCATATTTTCTCGGATCTTCTCTGGTTCAGCTTAAGATAAAAGGATTAAAGAGGTGTTTCTGTGACATATGCATCCACAAGAAATATAGATTGGGTATTTTGTCAACTGAATAAAACCGGGACTTTTTTTAATCTTTTTTGCATAACAATATTATCATGAGCAACACGACGGATCCACATATGGATCAAGAACTGCTTACCCGCTCTTTTTTTATCAACTTATATCAACTTGCTGTTTTTCTAGTTGTTTTTTAATATTAAGACAGAAAAACATAAATATTACGTATGTCCGCCGTTCGACGAAGGAAGACATTATGTTTAAGTAGTGTTTCTACTTCTGCTTCTCATACAACCCTATCCGGGCTATAAATTTTAATCTATTAAAACTGTCCTTTACTATTATTACAATAAGACGGTGTATTGCATACCATCATATTTGTCATTTGACCTTGACTTATGACTGAAAGGTAAGCAAATATGCAATTCTATAATGATTTCGAGTCTGGAACATGGCTTTTATTCACGTCTGTTTCATATCACCAATAACTCTGTAGCCCGGTTTTAATAGCTGATAAAATATAAGTAAATAATTTGGTGAAGTTGCGTGAAGCATTTGACAGACCCAGCAATATCACGTTGCTTGTAAGGACAGATATGTAATTCGGTTATCCAGTAGAGTGAATGAAGATCCCGTTTTTCATCTTTGGTTAAAATTCTAAAGTAACATAAATTATTTCTACGATTGTTAAGGATTTCCTGTAAAAACCATTTCCCGAGGGCTTATTTTCAATTCGTCATTTGGCCGTAAAGAAGAAGATGAACAGATTGACGACATACCACCGACGTAATGGCAATAAATCAAACTGATAAGTTGATAGTATCAGCCTATATACGATGAAATACGAAGAAATTGTACTAATTTGCTCTTCATAAAGTTAAGAATTAAAATACAGAATGAAAAATTTCATTCCGGTCGGAATGCTTATTTCTGATTTACTTTTATTTAGTTTAGATAATAAAATATTAAAGAACTGACCGAAGGGTGAATAGTAAAAAAAAACTTTCAAGGAAAGAGATTTACTTTGCTGTTATTTAAAAATGTAAAATGTGCTGATGAAAAGGTTGAGACAATAGTCAATAATATTTTAAAATGTAACACATATGATACTGCCTTGCGTTACCAGAGGTTTTGTGACATCATTTGATTGCAACGTCATATGCTTAAATAACATTGTTCTTGACCAAATAGTACATTCAACTTTATTTTTAAGATGATTTATAGTTCTAAAATAATTACAATTCTTACAAACCTAACTTATATGATTTAGCAAACACACATGCACTTGTATAAGAATTTTTTTTCCCCTAAATACCTTAATATTAAGGTATATAGGAAAAAAACATTTCTGAGACAAGTGCCTGTGTGTATTAAGGTATATAGGAAAATATTTTTCTGAGACAAGTGCCTGTGAGCAAACAGTAATTAATATTACAATACCAGTATCACTTCTATTTTGTAAATAAGCTTTAAAATGCATAGAATTCCAATTTAATGTATAACTCGATATGTCGATTTAGGTACATTCTTTGTTTACAAATTGTGGTTTCGGCTGGAAAGGGTCATCTTGTCTCTGTGGAGTTGCCATTAGAAGTCGGAATTCACTGTTTGTGTTGCGGACATGTGAAAGAGTTTCAAGAGACAGTTCTTTTCCCCTGAATTCGCCTCATTCTGAGGTCAGAATTTGTGATGGTAACGACTTGTCAATTGACATTTCGCATAACACATACACGGTAAGTTTCATTAGCCATATGCATATCAATATATCATCATACGTACCGATTTTCAGGTTGTCTGCATATTGATATTGTAAAATATCAGCTGTGAGTCTCAATATGAAGCTTTTTGTCGAGTGAGCGCAGCGAACGAGTTCAAAAAGGCTTCATATTGTGTCGAGCAGCTTAAACCACTGTCACTTTAAATTGATACATTACAAAGCTTGACATAGAAAACAAACCAAAAAAAAACTGATAAGTGTCGGCATTTCACTTGTTTGATGTCAATCAATTAATGTCTTAACTTTGATATGCGATTGTAAGTTATATAAAGTCTGCTTTCCTTTTTGCTTCATTAGTGTCACAAATAACTAGACTTTTTTCGCCAAGTTCTACCAATTTCAATATCTTCAGCAATTTACCATGGTAAGAAAATAATTTAACCTTTTTAGCGTACCTGTATTTCTTGCTACAAATTTCTCAGTACTACACGTAGTGATTTTTTTTGTGAGTTAATTATCTAATTTTCTCGTCGAAATGTTTTCCCTTAGAATTGTTTTGTTTATGCTTTTATATCTTTAAGTGTCTTTTAATCTATTTAAGTTAATTACATCATATTGTAGATAACTTTACCAACAGGAACAGAAATTAAGTTTACCATATCAACCTGGTCAATGTTGATCAATAGTGTATCTATTAAGCCATCTATATTTGACATTAACGAAGCAAAGGGACTGTGTGGTGTACCAAGTTTGGTTAAAGACACATCCGACGACTTTACGCATAGAGACTCGGGGTCTGTTTCAGATGAGCGTAGTTTTGCGGATTCGTGGAGGTAGGTATTTTTGATAGAATTGACATGATATAACTGTGGAAAAATTGTCTTAAAAACTGACATTCCATTTTAATATGAGTAAATGGATTGGTGATTATATGTTAAATAGGCAGCAACCGAATGGCAAAAATAACAAAACGACATCTAGATTGCAACATACGGTCTTCAACAATTACACATGTTTCTATGCATAAGTTAATTAAAAACAATGATAATTTTATTCATTTTTTTGTGTGTTCGTTAATGTTTGTTTAACGATGTTGACATGCACAGTTAATGGTCATTTTTTGTTTCTTTTTTTTTTTTTTTAATATATTGACTGTAATACAATGACGACATTAGTAAATATTTTGATTTATATTATTTTCAAATACTATTTTATCCGTAAAGGTTAAACAAAACCATTTCTACCCTTTCAAATGGACTATTTATTGAAAATTTAATCATGGATGCACTTTATTAAAATATTTCAGGATAACTGCTATCCATACACCTGATGAGCAACTCTTTATAGAGGAACCTACATTTTTGTCGTTAGATGTTGGTATAGTTATTGATAATGTAAATAATACAAATGATAACGCTACAGATCGTTATTGTGTTTGTGAAAGTCAGGCTCCACGTTACAATGGTGATTTAGATTTGTATAACACCGTGCAGTGTAATCTAACTGAGAGCACAGAAACCTGTTCTTCAGCAGGGCAAACTGGAGTGAATGCCGACTTAATCGGTTCATTTGTAACATCTTGCATTACAACAGGTTACAGCAGAAAGAAACGATCTATAAATACAGGTCACAAAATCGTACGTCGCAGTACATCCGACACCGACGATGTCCTCGATGTTAAACCTTTAGAATACGACGATGATGTAAACAGTTCCACCAACTTTGTAAGTCATTTCAAAATTACTTTCAAGTTCGTCTTCAATATTTAAGATTATCCTTATAAAATAAATATCAATTCATTAAAATAGAAATTGATCTATTCAAAATAAACTCTCATTGAAGACTTAACATATATAGCCAACGCGACATCGGATATTTTAAAACCAAATAACTAAACCTGCTACAAACTGGACAACAAATCATATATTCAAACACACAAAGAAGTGCACCTTGAGTCATGCGACTCTTGCATAACATATATACACATCCGTCATAAGGTTACAAGAGCGCAATTATTTACATTTTACCGGCAAGTTTTTTACCCAAAGATGGTACTCAGAATAGAATCTTGTACGGCTTCTGATTGGATGATACAGGATTTGAATTACTTTTAATCGAAAGCTTATCCAATTAGGTTTAAAAAATCCAGAAAATCAAATTCACATTTTACAAAGTAAAGAAAATATATTCAATATCTGCACGTCGGATCCATTAAATATCTGCCTTTTTCATTAAGCGAAAAAAAATAGACGATGTTTTTCAACTGCATTTTAAGTCAAATTTTGCCGCATGACCATATATATATTTTTGATTGTTATGCAACACTGGTATTTCTAGTTACAGGAACTGCTACCCATTTTTTCCTAGTTTGTGTAGTCTTCGAGAAATAAAATATGGTACCCTATGGAAAATGCATTCAAATAATTGCGCTCTTGTAACCATAAAGATTTATTGAGACATGGGTTTATTAATTTATGTTTGCATGTTGCTTCACCGAATTAAGGTATATTGGCAAAGTAAAATTGATAATAATAAAACATATGTCCACCGATTTTAATATCGTTAATTATATTGATATGTTTTGCAATATCATTATAAACTAAGACTATAACCCATCATATAAGTTCGTGTCCATACTAGTGCACCAAATGAAAAGCAATAACCATTTTAGCCTCTTAAAACTGTAAAGTGAATAACAGATTTACCGTTGGTTTTCCCATTTGAATGGTTTTACACTATCAATTTTTGGGGCCCTTTATAGCTTGCTGTTCGGTGTGATCCAATTCTCCGTGTTGAAGGCCGTACCTTGACCTTTAATGGTTTACTTTTATAAATTGATACTTCGATGGAGAGTTTTCTCATTGGCACTCATACCACATCTTCCTATATCTATTTACATTCATTTGTTGGAGTGTTAATAATCTTTTAGACATTCAAAACATTAAAATGGACGCAATGAACAAGTCAAGAGTATTATATCTCTTATAATATTTTTCTCAGCAAAAATCATTTTAACTTGACTTGCCTACGGTTAAACTCGTCTACGGTTAACCTCATAATCAGTAGATGAACGAAATTATGCTTGGTAAAACAGGGCTGGTATATACATGAATGAAACTGATAGAACATTTTATTCGGAAATCAATGAGACTACGACAAAAACACTATTTATATGCAGCATTGTCCTTTTGATAGACATTATAAATGAAACTGTATTGGAAACAATTGTTTGCTACGAACAGCTAAAAGAGCTTCTTTTCCTGCTATACTTTTGTTATGTAAAAGAAACTTTTGTTTTATACTTTTTTCGAATACGAGTCAACTGAATATTTGTTTTAAACGTTTAACTAATCCGAATACCTATTAAAAACATTATGTAGAAGGAAACTGCTTTGCATTAAACTGTTTTGTCGGCCTGATTCAACATATTATTATGGATCTTTTGAATTTATCATTGAAGACACGAAGCTTCAGAAATGGTTGGACAGAAGAGAAGGCAAACCAAACATGCTATGAACTTATAAAAGACCAAATTCCAACAGATCTTCAAGAAAATGGAATTATTCTTTCAGAGGAAGAATACATTGAGTCCTGTGTTGAAGACATAAAGGTTAATTTTTTTTAATGTCAATTCACTAACAAGTGCTGTTTACCTACATGTTTTCACTAAACATTTCTTTCGTGTTGTTTAACTGCAACGAGCTACGAAGTGCTTCATTTCATTGACTAATACAAACTTTGATGCCTTTATTCATGTTTTCTGCATCTTCATAAATACATAACGTTCACAGAATTTACCTATATACCCTTTATCTATACAATGTTATATTATAAAACAGATTTGAATTTAATGACTTAGTACGATGTAAATAATTTAAAAAAAAGAGAAAAAATCCTCGTTTATAAAAGAAAGTATATGATCGTTATTAGTACATGACAATTTTCAATTTAAACCTAAAAAAAAGCATTGTAAGGAATACGGACTTAATTAAATGTGTAAAATTATATTGATTAGAACGCCTTTATCATCAAATGAAGGGGAATAGTCACATGTATTATTATAAGTAAATTATTGTACATAAGTAATAAGGGTTTTGGTGTTTATATTTACAGCTTACAGCTGACACAACTTTTGCAAAAGACACAGTTAGTGCAATGCAAACGTATACGTTAATGGAAGTATTACGGAACGAGACTATGGCTATAGCAGAGAAAGACAACAGTACACAAACTGTACTGGAGTACATAACCAGCCTACTATGCCCAAACAACTGTAGCGGTAATGGAAACTGTACACAAGGTATAAGCAAAATAAATCCTTTTTAAATTGGACATCTATACTTTTCATATCATGCTAATTGACTATTTAAAAAGAAATTATAAACCCTTCAAATTTCTAACATTGCATGCATGATATAGTGAAAAGGGATCTAAATCCTTTCTCAAATTAAAACATTTGTATGTGAAAAAATATTACAAATCTGTAAGAAGACAAACGTTCATATTACATTACAAAAGGCAGCTTTGTCGAAATAAAAAAATAGATAAGCACAGAACCTAAACTACTCGAACGGCACATGGGTAATTGTTTGAAGATGAGGAGGGAATCCATAGACGGTGGGTTTTGCTTTATTTTATTTGTTTTTGAATTAATGCAAACATATAATTTATGAATATCATTTATTACTGATACAAATATGATAATTTCTTATCAGAAGGAATCTATCTCTTTATGAACATAATTATAGATTATGTGATAAAATAATTGTAGGACATTAGTTAAACTAATATGTTCAATATGGTTCCATACATCAACCATGTATTTTTTATAATGTTTTTATAATTGTGTGAAGATGAGGAGGGAATCCGTGAACGTTGGGTTTCGCTTTATTTTAACCAAAACACATGTTCCTATTATATTTTTGTGCACATCGTTTCAACATTGATTAAATACAAATGATTGCAAAAGTGTCGAATGCAGATCTACTATGTTGTACTTAAAAATAAATACTATTAAAGGTCTTATACAATTGTTGAAAAAAAACAACAGAAATTTGATTAGGGTTTAATTGCTGAAAATGTCTTACAAAAAATTAAAACAAATTATGTAATCAAAATATAAAATAATTGATATTATTACGGGTATACGTCTTACGACCAACAGAATTCTATGTTTACTTCAAAAGAGAGACGAACGATACCAAAGGGACGACAAAATCACAAGTCGAAAATAACCTGACAACGCCATGACTAAAAAGAAAAAGACGAACAAATAACAGTACACAAAAACACAATATAGAAAACCAAAGATCGAGCAACACGAACCCCACCAAAAACTGGGGGTGAACTCAGATGCTCCGGAAGGGTAAGCAGATCCTGCTCCACATGTGGCTCCCGTCGTGTTGCTCATGTTAGTACAAACCTTTTGATAAGTCTAATTCGGTAGGTCACATTCGGGGAAAAGGAGACAGGATTGTAGTTACGACAATTGTAACATATCCGTTGTCATCTGTGAAGCAGATATTCTATAACCGGTCAACCAACTCGTAATTGCGTCCGTAAAATTTACGGAGGGACGATTTAAACTTCACCACTTGGAAATCTTAGTTTAATAGCTTCCTTGTAAGCAGCCGCCCTATATCTAGGAAATCATGATAGGAAATACAAGACCTGGAATATCGTATCAACTGGGAGATATATACTCCGTTTGCAGGTGCTGCTGGAATGTTGCTACATAGAAATTGGAAATTCACAATGGGGAAGCTGAAATCATCTCTTTTGTCGTAAAGTTTTGTTTTTAATCGATCATCCTTGTCAATTTCTAGATGTAAGTCAAGATATGAGGCAGACTTAACTGTATCTGTTGTATATTTTATCTCAAGTTTGATGGGATAGATGCGTTCAGTATAGTCACCAAATTTTGAATTATTTAGTGAGAGAACATCATCTATATAGAGGAAAGTGAGGTTAAAGAATACTGCTAATTTCTTTTCTTTCTTCCTAAGAAGTTCCTGTATAAAGTCAACCTTGAATGAATTAAGGAACAAGTCGGCAAGAAAAGGAGCACAGTTGTTTCCCATTGGAATGCCGATTGCTTGTTGAAAAACACGTCCTCAAAACGTGACAAATATGTTGTCAATCAAGAAATCAAGCATCTTGATAATATAATTATACATAACAATAAAACAAAGGAACGAAAAATTGGCAGGACCGAAAAACACATAAAACGAAGTAGTTTGACCTATAAATTCATATTTTATTAACTAAAAAAACAACGGAAATAGTAACCATACGATTATTAGCAAGTAAATAAAAGAAAATGAAGAAACAAGAATTGATGTAACTTATGCATAGTAAATTTGACATCCATAAATAATGTATCAAGAAGTTTCCATTGCGTTTGGACACATCAAAGTACCAACTTGTAACTGCCTGTTATGAATATATACTTCGAGGGCAACCAGTTAAAAATTGTAACCTTAGTATATTTGAAAAGTTTTCATAGGACTTACAAGCCAATATCACTACGTTATACCTGTGTCGTGGCCACTGAATATGTTTGTACATCTTGTAACTGATTTTGTTTTGATATGGTGAGACGTTCACTGACAAACCATTGATATTAAGCTACGTCTTTTGTAGTGAATACAAAATTTTAAGAATTACTTTGTAGGATTTTGTACATGTACAAAAGAATATGCAGGAGATGACTGCTCACAACAGATATATATTCCACCGGCTAACATCAGTTTACCGACAGCAGGACTATGTGGTACTCGTACCAGGGCGTGTCAAAGGACGAATATATACGGATATTTTCCGTCCAGAGATGTGTGGTGTAATAAAACACATTTTCAGGTAAAGGATATATTCAAGGTTGATGATTTTGAGTTTGAACTGCTAATGTCAACGAAAATACCATGCTATGATTACCAAACTAATATTTTATAAGTAACAAACGCGAAAAAAGACAACCGCTGATATCGGGAAGTTATCGATAGGCAGTGTATCTGCAGTGTATCTGCATGCAGGTTTGTGAATTTTCTTTATAAGAACACCAATGTATGCCTTTATATTTCTAAATAACAACACCAGTCAAACATAATTCAAGCAAATAATATTTTTCGGTTTTATAGGGTTTTATTTTGGAAAAAAATTTAAACGATCTCAAGAATTCGAAGCTACGTTAACTGTTTCAACTAGAATGATTGCCCATGAGAACAAACAAATAAATAATTTATTTTCTTAAGACCACTTGTGCGTTCAAACAGTTACTTTCTAAATACAGTAACACCGCATTAAAAATATTAAATCAAGTTATTTATCAATTAAATATCATTTTAATATTGCGCACTTCAAAAGCTTTGGGTCCGTAACCATTATCAAAATACCAATATATTGTAAATCAGCTGATCGATTACGTCTTTATTTGTTTTGTTTGTTCCAATTCACTCACACGTGGTATGAAGTAATTATGAATAATAAACACGAACACATATAAACTACATATTTAGCTGTATTTGGCAAAACCTTTCTGAATGTTGGGTTTCCAATAGTCTTCAGTTTTGTACTTTATTTGGCCTTTTTAAATTTTATTATTCGAGCGACACGGATGAGTCTTTTGTAGACGAATCGCGCGTCTGGCCTGGTATTCCTGGTATCTATGATGAGTTTATTTATAACCACTAGGTGGTGGAGGGTTCCTCCCCGAGGGAATCAACAACCCAGTAGTCAGCACTTCTGTGTTGAAATGAATTATCATTGATGTGGTCAAAATGTTAGATTAACAGTTTCAAAACTTTTGAATTTTTCAAAAAACTAAGGATTCTCATCCCCAGGAATAGATTATCTTATCTTAGGCAAATCCTCTACGAATTTTGTTCCTCAATGGTCATCAATTTCGTAAGTTATTTGACTTTTTTAAATTTGCTTTATTCGAGCGTCACTGATTAGTCTTATGTAGACGGAACGCGTCCAGCGTTCAAATTTTTATTCTTTGCATCTATGATGAGTTTAATTTTTTTGTAGAAATTTCGAGTGTTAAAGTCTGTTGCATTAATTTTGGTACATCACTGTAAATAACTAACCTCCCTCATGGACATCGCCATTTAGAAATGTGATTACTCGATAACATTGATCTGTCTATTAAAGATTAGTTATTTCTTTTCTGACAGAACCACACACACAACTTTTACATTGTCACTCACAACTATTACTTTTCGATATTTTTATGGTAAAATATTTGACATAAAAGACCAACCTGAGTTAAACTCAAAATTAATTCAAGCGCAAATCAAATAAATACGTGAATATTCGCTGGTTAAATAACGTCGAACAATATATTTATTCATATAAGGATTCATAAAATGTTTTTTTTTTCAGACAATTGAAATTTCTAGTAGTTGGTTTTTAGAGTAAAAGTTACAAAAACATACTTTTTCAGGTGGCATATCGATGGAATTTCTATTTTTTTTTAATGTTAGCCTTGCATGCATGGAGATAATAGAAAAACAGACCCTTGCGCACAACGGATATATCAAATATCTTCTAGCTATTGTCAATATACTTCATGTACAATGCGTCAGATATGGACACAGGCTCCATTTATGTTTTATGTGTTATGCAACATCTCTTTTATAATGCAATATATTCGTTTAACCAAACTTATTGTAGTCCGTTTTATTTCTTTACAACTTTCAGGCAGCAAATTACACCTCTCCTTCAGTTTATCAAAGCTTTTGTTTCGTTCGATATGGACTTGTAGACAAACCCCAAATTCAAACCTTTAAAAGCAATGTTATTTAAATACATGGAAATGAATCACAACAAAACATAATGAAGCGTTTCTGAATAACTGAAATCGTCTTAAGTCAACTTTTCCAAAGATGAATACCAAACTTTCAATGAATTAAAGAACTAAACAATTATTAATATATGCATGAAAAATCATGATTAATGCCAAAACGTTGTATCCCTGGAGGTTACAACTGTTTACCCTTTTAGAATTTTTCTAATTCGGTGTCAAAATAAAACACACAGCTACATTAAATACTCTTGGATTTCAACAAATAAAAATACATATGCCTATCATTTTACATTCCTTATGCGGTTTTTGTTGTTATGTTTATAGATATAAGAAGATGTGGTATGAGACAACTCTCCATCCAAGTAAACATTTATAAAAGTAAACCACTATAGGTCACAGTACGGTCTTCAACATGGAGCCTTGGCTCACACCGAACAGTAAGCTATAAAATGTCCTTTTAGGGTTTTAAGCCAGCCTATATTTTATGGAATTATGCTTCCCAAATAATTGTTTTCGATCGTTTTTCCCGAATACTAGACTTGATATTTCATTTTTTTTCGCTCAGGTTAACGGCGATTCGAAAACATATGCAGATCCAGTCATGGTAAAAGCTGATTATAGGACTGCTTTCATGGTATCTGTTGCTCTAAGTGGAACCCGTAAGAAAAGGTCGACTTTAAACACTGGAATGGCTGAAGGATATGAATTAAGATTATCAAATGATGGAATTGAATTTAGTGACCCAGTCATCATTATAATTTACGACGAGGAGTGTTATGACTGTAATGCCTCTTCGATATCATGTGTGATTGTTGTAAGTGATATACTACATTTAAAAAAGATTTACATATGATTAATAACTATATTACACACTTTATACAAAGTCCTCATAAATGGTCCTGATTATCTTTAACTGTTCCATGTTTCACTAGAGTACCGACTCTGGATTGTATTAAAGGTTCATTTATAATTTGTTGTAATGTTGTACTTATATTTGAGTGTCTGTTGTTTATACTGTACATATTTCTCCTTTGGTCGATGGATGTGTGTTTTGTAATAATGAAAAGTATATAACGTCTGAAAAATTGTTACCTCCTTGCAAACATCTTTTGACCTGACATTAAAACCTGTCTGAGTAAGTCTCTGTCCTTAATACCAACTTGCCGAAATATGTGCCTAATGAACAAAATTTTCAAAGTCACACATAATGAGTTCCTAGTAAATTTAATTAAAGCAATATTTTAATTATCCAGATTAGCTTCAGAACTCTCCATTTGAACTCATGATATGTAAAATTAAGCATTTAGCACTCATATAAACACTACAATCAACATAATTTAAAGTTCTGCACCATCCCATTATAAATAAACTTCCGTGTAAATACATGTATTGTGTAGCAGTGCCAGTGGTATCCAGGTTTGAATGAAAGATAAATCATAAATGCACTAAAACTTCTTATTTTATATTGATTACTTAATTTGGCCCTCGGGGAATCTACTCAGCTAAAATCAAAATGTTTGCTCCATGCCTAAACTAAGAGTCTATGTGCGTACTGTAAAGTAGCAAAGTATAGACCCCTGGCTTGACATCACACCAATCCAATCGGAACGATGGTTCCAAATGAATGCGTGAGGCTATCAGGAAGCCTATGAGATTATCAGAAAGCCTGTGAGGCTATGTCTGTGGTAGCCTATGAGGCTATGAGGAAGCCTATAATGCGGCTATGAGGAAACCTAGTATGTGGCTATGAGGACGCGAAGTAGTGATGATGTTGAATTGGGTTGGAATGAATTTATATGAAATTAAACAGTTTATCTCCAGAAGTTCTTGGGGATTAGTGAAATTTTTGAAACAACCAGTGATAAAATTTCATAAATGTCAAGACATGATGGATTTGCTTCAGATGCTGAGGTTATTTATCTGATCCATGCCTAAACCAGCAGCATATGTGCGTACTGAAAAGTAGCAAAGTAAAGACCCCTGGCTTGACATCACACCAATCCAACATAGCTCCTAAAAGTAAATTATTGTACTACTGGTTGCTAAAATCTACTGATATGAATTGGTGTTAGAATGAATTTTGAAGCAATTTGTATAACATATACATATACAGAAAAAATCAATAACAATCTTATATAAACTGTGCCGAGATTGATTTCTCTGTCATGGCAATATTGAAGGTGTAAGGTTGGGGTTGGTGGGTGGCAAGTTTTTAGGTAAGCCATTTTGCTTTAGCAAAAACTATTCTTTTAACTGCTTAATCTGAATTGAAAAAAAAAACTGGACACTTAAGGCAGCATGTACTGGTTTTCAATATAAACTTCGTAATGAGATATTCCTAAATGGGAGGAGCTACACCCAAGTTTATGTGCAAACAAACAAAGGACAAAGGAAAGCCAAATGCCACAAGTGGTCACTAATTAACAAGACATGTATATGTGCAATAGAACTGATGTAACTAAATCCCTGCTAAGAACACCTGATAAACTTCACATGTAGCTGATTAAGAAATGATAATAAATCTGTTTCTTCTTGATAGTAAAGAGAACAAAACATCCTGGGAAACCCTAAATAATGACTACTAAGTGTAATGGAAATCAAACTATGTATAAACATAACTCATAGTAACTAATGATGTGTAACTGTTAGTCAGTATCATCTGATCATTGGGGACTTCTTTTTTTGGGGAATGTCACGATCTTTGACTAAGGTACTTGGAGTTAGTTTCTCATGTTGCTTTTTCTACGTTTTATGCATTAACTCTTCATCTTCTTTGTGCAAATGGGGTTAGATTTTATATTGAATTTAGTTTAAAATTGATAGTTTAGAATTAGGTACAGGTCAGTTTAACACATTTATTTGACGATTTTGTTCCTTTTAATATAATGCTTGGTTTCCAATGGGTGTTTTTTTTGTTGGTTTGAAGGAATATGATGTACTGACTCGTAACACAAAAGCTCTAAACAAATTTATATAAAACGCAAAGCAAAGGAACAGCGAGATCTTGAACACAGATTAAACGTTTACAAGAGTGATACAGATGTTAATAATCTACAAATTATTTCTAACAAAGAAAAGTAAAATATTAATGCTAAAAACGAATAACGAATTCCTGCGCAAATCTTCGCCAGTTGCTCTGCAATTACTTTTTCATATGAAGGTTGCTGTAACTCTTAACCAATACGATTGAATACGTTGCTAAAACGTAGTTTATATCATGTAATCTGAAATAGATATTTCATAAATAATTATTCTTTTCAAACTTCTCTTATTTTGTAAGCTTATTATTATGCGTGTTGCTTTAAAAGTTATACAACCAAAATAATATATGAAATACCACTTTATATTAAATTAATGCAAGGGGAATCATATTTTAACAATGATTTGATTTAGTAATATACTTTATGATATTCACTGTGTTCATATGACTGCATAGTACTTGAATACTGATGATCAAAGATGAAACAACTAATCACGAGTGAGGTTTCCTTGGTAGATATATCATGTAATAAACTCAATGAATATTACTTTAATCTCAGCATTAATACATTGTCTTTTCAGACATTTTGCCCTTGATACTATTTCTGTTATTTTTTATTTTCATTTGTATAATTTGATTTCCGTTTTAGCTTAATTTTAATGCACCTGATGTTCTTCTGAATTGTTCATGTTTAATAGAAATATAAAATATATTTCGACCAAAACATTAAAACACTGAAAAGGGAAATACTCTAATTTTAAAAGTTTTTGCATTGCATAACAATATATAAAGCATAATTACAATGTATTTTTCTTAAATACGGATTAACCTTCCCTCGGCAACAGTAATGTAAATCATTATTTACGTGAAAAGTGTTGTGTTTTGTCGGTTTAAGATTTTTTACTCAATTATTTGAAATATTCTGTATAAGCAGTTACTATTTATACTAAAATATCACCAGACAAATCATCAACTTTATCACACATGTCTTATTTTCTTAATTCTTGACCAATCATTTCACCATTGTTCGACAGATTTGTGAATACGTGTAATTTGTGAATGTAAAACTTACTATGCATTTTGAAACTTTGTTATCCAGCGATTAAACAAGACAATACATGGAAACATCAAATGTTACATTACGGCTTGTCTTTTGGTTACTTATAGGCTTCATGTCCTGATTTCACAACAACTGGTATGGATACTACATCGGATAGAGTATCGACTATTGAAGAAACAACAACACAAGATACAACAACCATTGAAGAAACAACAACACAAGATACAACAACCATTGAAGAAACAACAACACAAGATACAACAACCATTAAAGAAACAACAACACAAGATACAACAACCGTTGAAGAAACAACAACACAAAGTACAACAACAATTGCAAGAACAACAACACAAGATACAACAACCATTGCAGAAACAACAACACAAGATACAACAACCATTGCAGAAACAACAACAACACAAGATACAACAACCAGTGAAGAAACAACAACACAAGATACAACAACCATTGAAGAAACAACATCACAAGATACAACTACACAACAGTTGACAACTACTGATTTTATGACAATAACAAGACAATTAACAACAACCATCCAACAAACCACATCTGATTCATTGACAACTAACAATCAGTTACCACATACGTCTCATCAAGATTCTACCCCATATGACACGGCTACTAGAGACAAGACAACTACACACAAAGATACAACTCAGGAAGGTAGGATGGTGATGTATATATCCTCAAATTTTCTTTTCTTTGGAATATAGTTTTTTTTATGTAAAATTAGAATTCAAAGAAAACCTTCGGTAAGGATTAAACAAGAACTATTTGTACAGTCACTCCTCATTCAACTACCTGCGAAGTACAGCAACGACCAAGACAAACAACTGCAGAACACGTTAAATTTATATGTTATTGTACATCATTTGGAAAGATGACTAACTCATAGCTAAAAATCAGTATCTAAATGTAGTCGCTCCTAATGCTTTACGACCCTAAGGTTTTACTGGGTCTAGAAATATTGTGAACCTGGACTTCAAACGTCAACAGTAAGACATAATGCTAAAGAGGTAGTTATATTGGACTTTGTGATACGTCTTAATGCGTAGCCAAGTCCGGTCAGAAAGACGACGTTCAATTATATGACTCTCTGTATGTTCAAGAATCCTTACATTGATTGAGGGGTCAGTATATGGCTTGTTACAAGGAATTAATTTTCACACTATCCAACATATCACTTTTCAAGTGATCGTCTAAATATTCTACCCGTTACCACGGTTGGTACACTTTGCCGAACCATTTATCGTAACATTTAGTAAATTCAATCAACAAATCTATCTATAGAGGCAGTCATAGTCTGTCAAACAATTATTTTTCTGTTAATATACAATTGATTCTAGTTTTTCAGATTTTCTTTAAGTTCGTGTTGTCCAATCTTAAGTTTTCTATGTAGTGTTTTATTGATTTGTTCATCTTTTTCATCATTTTTTGTCTTTTTGCAAAAGCGTTGTCATTTTCCTTCGACTTATGAGTTTTGTATGTTCACTTGGTATCCTGCTCCTCTTTTTTTTCAAAGAAGAAAGGTAGTCATTTTTCATTTAACCTGTGTTATAAAAGTTTCCATGTAATCATTATTTTAATTCAGAATATTGCATAGTGGTTTCTGCGTGATAAATTCACTCTTGTTAAAAGACAAATAGATAAATGCAAACTGAACAGAAAGAAAAACGACAATATGTAAACAGATTTCTTGAAAAGGGACGCTAGATTTATTCCAAATTTGACATAAAAACAGCGTTAAGAAATAAACATTTTAAATATCTTCTAAAGCATGCATTTTCAGGATTCAAATATTATGGGTTGGCACATGTTTAGCAGAAAAAGGGAGGAATGTAATCGATATCGTACTCGAATTTTTTATTGGGGTACATTTTTATCAATAAGGTGATTATCGCCCAATGTTCTTCAAGTTCGTTATTTTTTTTGCCTTTTTAAATATTTTGATTCGAGCTTCACTGATGAGTCTTTTGTACACGATACGCGCGTCTGGCATACACAATTGTTATGCCTGTTATCTATGATGATTGTATTCACAACTACAGGGTCGATGCCACTGCTGGTCAAGGTTTTCTCCCCGAGTGTATCACACGCCCAGTATTCAGCACTTCTGTGTTGACATGAATTATCAATTAGTGGTCATTATTATAACTTAATTGTTCACAAAACGTTGACATTTTCGAAATACTATGAATTTCCTTCCCCACGAATAGATTACCTAAGCTGTATTTGGCAAAACCTTTCTGAAATTTGGGTCCTCATTGCTCTTCAAATTCGTAATTTATTTGGCCTTTTAAACGTTTTTGATTTGAGTCTTTTGTTGAAGAAACGCGCATCTGGCACACAAAAATTTAAGCCTAGTATCTATGATGAGTTTATTTCCGTAGTCCCAACAACAAAATAAGGTATTTTACTTTAAATTTAAACAATACCAATAGTATAGAGAACGTTTTCTAGTTGGGCACTAGCAGATCCGAGATTGCTTACTTCTTCAGCATTTTCGTATAATCTATCACTCTATTTAGCTCCTTAATATGAAACTATTATTGGTTTCTTTTAAACGAGGCGAAAACAGCAAACTTTTATATATTTGTTATTGCAAAAATTCAAACATAGCAGTATTAAAAACAAATCACAAAATAAAAAAAAAATGAAATTTAAGTTTTAGAGAACAGTGATTTCCTATATTTCTTTCTTTAAATGCACGCAATTGTTAACCGCGTGATTAAATACCAACTGTTCCAATCATTATTTTTATATTACACTGTTTAAAGGACAGATAAAAGAATAGTCGCGTTGTGCCAAATTATATTTGCAACAACGTTTACATCATCATGTTATGGTATTAGTTGGAATTGCTTAAAAAGCAGCAAGCATGAAATTTTAGAAAAAGATAAATAAGTTATGCCTCTTTCCACCCACATCTACAATTATCAGAATTGTATATGTTGTTTGTTTTGACTTTGCTAATTTAAGAGACTGTACACACGTTAGGCACTTAAGGCAAATCCAAATATTTTGATTACATCTTATCAAACAGTGTTTTAATACAAAAAAATGAAATGGGAGAAACAAATGTCTTTTGTTTTAAGTCATGAACTGGTATTTCAAATAGCTGTCGGTATTCAAATGGTTACTTATTATGCATACCTACTTACCGACTTCTTTTTAAATTTCTTTGAGGCAGATTTCATTCAAAACCTTCTCAAAAACAAGTTAAAAAAAGCATCTTGTTTTGTTCTTTAGGTTCTCGTTAATGTATATTGATGATGTCCTTTCACTCAAACACTCACATTTTAACTAGTGCTTGCATTTCGTATATGCAAGTTAACTTGAAATGCAGGATACAACATACACCATAAGGCCTGCTTCATATCTGATTTTTTTCGTGAATTTGATATAGATGGACAATTTCATACTAGGATCTATGACAAACGTTACAATTTCAGTTTCCTTATTCTAAAATTTCAAATTTCCGTAGTGACATACCCTCTGCCCCATCATACATTTTTAGTTACAAAGACTTCATTAACAGGAGTGTTCTTCTGACGCAAAAATGTTCCAGCAGGGTAATGAGGAAGAACGAATGAAATGGACACTGCACAAGTTTTACGTTCACCATCACGAATTGAATGACCGTTAAGATAAGTATGTGTCTCGACTTTCCAGGGACATCGTTTTGTGATCTTAAGATATCAAAATAGTCGTTTGTTCTGAAAATTGTTAGATTGCGTCTACCCATATGTCGAGGCATTTTACTGATTCGTTTTGGCTGGTGAAGCAAGCACTGTAATAGACACTTATCCTGTCGATACGTCCATTTTCGCTTTTTCTAAAGCTCCAATTCGATACATTCAGATTTTGAATCTTGATTTGTATGTTCAAAATGAATTAACGAGATTAATATTGGCAAATTACTGCTACCTCTTATTTTGAATACATGCAGTTGATTTTATAACTGAAAAACTTGAATATAAGCTACAAATGTATATCAAATACCTAATATTTACATGCTTTCGTTTATTTTCGGTTTCAGATGCCGATGAGCTGATTTCTTACATTGGACCTATTATTATTGGAGGATCGGTGTTATTGTTTATTGTGATCTTTTGTGCCATCCTCTTGATAAAGTCAATTTTAAAAACATCTAAACCAAGGTAAGAATAATTATGTTGTATTTTTTTTACTTAGGGATTAGTATACTCGTTCCCTATCATACCCAAACCAAATAAGGTCTTATTCTGTATGTGTTCTTTTTAACGATATCCCCAATGTGAAAGTTGTTGTACTATGCAAACTTGGTAATGGTTTTACGCACTGTATCTACATCATAAAGCCAAAACTAATAATTCTTCATCATGGTTCGTAGTAAAGAACCATTACTTAGATGTATGCACAAAAAAAATTATTCGGTGTGCACAATTTACAGTTACCTTCAATTTTAATAGTATTGTTCAACTTTTGAAAATTGATGTAAAATTTAAAAAAAATATATGGTGAATTGTCTAAGGTATACAAATTTTGTATGTTTTATTAAAATGAATCAAACCAACATTTTTCAGTTAAAAAAAGTTTTTTTAAATTTTCCTTTATCATAAGTAGATACGGAGTTATTCGACTGACAAAGCACAAGGTCATGTTTTTCTCTGACTGTTAATGACGTCTTTACACTAAATTCATTGGATGTTGGATGTGTACTGATTGATATTTTAGTCTTAGATACATGATTTTTTTTATTAGTTGTTATTGGCTTTGGACTAGCTGTCAGTAACTGCGAGTACTCTCAGATCTGTACTTAGTGTCTTTTTTGTTGTTAGGGATGAGGGATGGATAAATACCCTGCCACGTTCGGTCTGTGTTTTTATTTGACGTTTTTCTCCTTTGTATCTATCTGATGAGTTACGCCTTCTTCAACTGATTTTTATAGTTTGTTCTTATGTTGTGCTGTTACACCACTGTCCCAGGATAGGGGGAAGGTTGAGCGCTCACAAACATGTTTAACCCCGCCACATTCTTTATATGCCTGTCCCAAGTAAGGAATATGTCGTTCAGTAGTTGTCGTTGGATCATGTCTGTCAATTTCGCAATTAAATTGTTTCATATTTCTCATGTCGTGGCCTTTCATAGCCGACTATACGTTATGGGTTTTTCTCATTGTTGAAGGCCGTATGGCTTTCATCAAACTTCATTTGAACTCTTGTGGATAGTTATCTCATTGGCAATTATACGACGTCTCCTTTTTTTTTTATATTAACCGTTAAATACAACGTAGCCTGATAGAGTTCTTTACTTGAATAAACTTGGTATTATCTGACCAACATGCAGACAAATTATTTTGACTTGGATAGACAGTTGTCTCATTGGCACTCATACCACATCTACTTATATCTTAATGTAAAAAAAAAATAAAAACAAAAAAGCATCGGTTCAACGTTTAGATCAGGTCGAGTGACCCGGCTACCTAAACAGCATTTTGTTTAGATCTCTAAGTTCAAATAGTTTTGATATAACGGATCTCAGTTACATCTAAATCGTTCAAAGTTTCCCCGTCTTGACTCTCAATGTGGCTGTTATTAAATAATTGTATTTGAAAAAAAAACAATTGCATGTATCTAATACAGAATTTGAATTTATAGACATGTCTTTTGTAAACAAAAACCGAACTTTTGAAACTAACTTATCTTATTTCGATTACATACACTTCATGTTAGGCATTCAGGCTCCGGGAACACTCCAGTAATTATATTTATTTTAATTTCTTGGTACTAATTAATACTATATTTGCTTGCAGGAACCAGAGCATTACACAATTCGACTCCTGGAATATTTACACAGGCGGAACATCTGGAGGATCGAATAATAAACAGGTAAACTCCAGACCGGATTTCAGAAATGTTCCACGAATCAATACAAGGTCATCTGAATCAAGTATGACTTCAAATACAGATGGTCAACGCAATTTCTTTAATGACTACTATCAACAATAGTATACGTGTAACAATTATTGTATATCCACAAATTTATATTTCTTAGTCAAGCATAGAACATATATGACAGTCTTCTTTTCAGCAATACCCACAGTTGATGTTATCATTAGAATACATGTAAGAAAACCAATTTGAACTATCTCTATAACTTGGCGTCAGTCAGCTTTTCACATTCTTCGTCATCATCAAACTTTAAACATTCTGTTTCTGTGAAACCTCAATAACAATTGAAACCAGCCACTAAGTGAATTTGTGAAAAGTTTTATTTTAGATTGATATTCCTTCAAACAACCGATATACTTTCGCTATTTAAATAGAATAGAGTATATGAGTATGAACCCTCTTTTGAACCAGACCGACATCCTGAATAGACATTAAAACGTACTAGCTCACAAGGTAACCGTTGTGAGTCACCAGGAAGGCGTGTTGTCCTAGAGAGAGAAGCTACCAAGAGGGAAATCGAAAACCATAAGTAAAAACAAAAACAGTCATGAGCATGGCTAATATAAAAAAATGAATAAAAGAAAATCAACAATAGCATAGCATAAAACAGAACAACAGAGATTGAACACATGAAAGAGTTATGTTAAATAAAAAAGACCAAAATGCTACAAAAATCAATCAAGTATTAAGCTGCCTATAGACATTTTAAATCATTAATATAAAATAGTATAAAAACTCAGTATTCACCTCAAAAGCTAACAAAACCTTTAAACAGACTTATTAAGAAGGGATATAGTTACGATACTGTTGTCAGGTCATTAAAGATTGCATATTTTGGCTTTAATATTAATTCACTTATAGGATCTTTGCATTGGAATTAAACACATTTATTCTAAAACCAGTTGTTGGCATGACACGGGTTATGTTCTTCTCATATATTTTATGACGGTATAATACTAAACCCCTAACAGGAGGGATTGTGCCTGATATTCATATGATGAAGACATAATCTTTCAATCAGTTTAATTGAGGTCTGGAGCTGGCATGTCAGTAACTGCTAGTAGTCTGTTGTTATTTATGTATTATTGTCATTTTGTTTATTTTCTTTTGTTTCCTATTCTGACATCGGACTCGGACTTCTCTTATACTGAGTTTTACTGTCTTTACTGTTGTGCGTTTGTTTTTTCTATATTGGCTAGAGGTATAGGGGGAGGGTTGAGATCTCAAAAAAACTGTTTAACCCCGCCGCATTTTTGCGCCTGTCCCAAGTCAGGAGCCTCTGGCCTTTGTTAGTCTTGTATCATTTTTGATTTTAGTTTCCTGTGTATAATATTGAGTTTAGTATGACGTCCATTATCACTAAACTAGTATACATATTTGTTTAGGGGCCAGCTGAAGGACGCCTCCTGGTGCTGGAGTTTCTCGCTGCATTGAAGACCCATTGGTGGCCTTCGGTTGTTGTCTGCTCTATGGTCGGGTTGTTGCTCTTTGACACATTCCCCATTTCCATTCTCAATTTTATCAAATTATACAATGCATCTAATATGTTTAAAATTTTAGTACCAATTGAAAGAAAATACTAAGTAGTACTTCGAATAAATGTGACTACATCTATCTTCCTTCCTGAATTCAGATTTTTTTTTAAATTTGCATAGTTGTATCGTTGAGATGAACGGCACAACACACAATTTTCAATTTTTTTTTAACGTTTTACTTCAAAACATTCAATAGGATTCTTGATAATGATCTTCTTTGCAAACAGACACTACATGTATGCAATCCAAGTTGCCTGACAAACACTGCCTGGAGTATACATATACCCTTTGGTTCGGTAGTGGTATGATCTACGGCGAATTTCTTAATAACATTAACGGTACCAATTTTGCTGCACCAGATGCACATTTCGACAATGGTTTTGAGCTTTTGTGATGAAGGTAAATTATATAAAGTGTTGTTTTTTTCATTGAATGTCCCTTCAGTAATGCTCAAGGCCAAACTATTCTAAAAATCCAAAACCTAATACAAACGTTGAAGAGCTGATAAAACAGTGACTGTCTTTAAAGACAAGACACAAAGTGCTCAGGCATGGTTTTATAATGCAACAACCGACGGAATTCCTGATTTTACCGGATATCTCGATGTGTGGCAGGATTTAAATTACAAAAACTTTATTGTATTTTTAAAATGTTTGCTTTCAAATATTGTGGTTAAAGTGTTCCTGGTAAACATAAATCCAGAAAAACACTTCGCATGCACGATATTTATAAAGTGTAATTTTTATTCACTACATCGGGTCGTTACTGCTTCTGGGTGACTACTAGTATCTGAGGGTATCACCAGCACAGTAATAAGTGAAAATGTCCGTTGTGTTTATAACCGACATTTGTACTTTTCTACGTTAATAAAGTTGGAATTAATTAAGAAGCTTAGAATCCACCTCCGTCAGTCAAAGTTGGTGTTTTATGGATTTGGTATCTTTTTTAGATCCTTATGATTACCTTATATTTCAAAGGTTTAATTCGTTCTTGGTTTTCAAATTTTATTGGTTGAGCAATCCTGATGCAGGTAGATCTAGAAAACTGCTCCAAATTATAAAGTGTTATTTTCATTTTAAAAGTTTTCCAAATTTAAGAATCTCTCCTTATACCATTTGCCTTTCTTGTTACTTCTGATATTTCTCCTTCTTGTATTGCTCATTTCGATAGTTAATTTCACTTTTTTTTTAATCTTCTTCTAAGACGAGGATATTGAAACAACTTGAAAGAATATGTCAGACTGTAATTAGTTGTAATATGCCAATTTTCTAATGTATTTTCGAATGAAATTATAAATGCGTTTAATGAGTATTACATAGAATACTAGAATACATATTTAATTCCAAAAACAGTTTTCAAAACAAAGTTACAGACGAGGCAAACCGCTACTTGTAAGAATGAAAACTATATTCTTACGAAAATTTAATAAGTTATTGAACGTACATGTACCTTCTATATTATAATTATTGTACAAAGAAAGCCTAAGATAACGTCTGTTTGTAACGCCAAATAAAAATCAAAAGAGGAACTCTGAAATGTAATACATAATGATAAGGAAAAAATGAACTGAATATTTTTATTCATCTAATATCAGTTTCTTGTAATGATTGATATACAAATGATTGGGTAATGAATTAACTGTAACGTTTAACCTCTAACTCACACAAAGTGTTTTATACTTTTTGAATGTAACAAGTCTTCTGATTGGCTGAAAGTTTTTTGCCTATCAACTCAGAAATAGTTTTGTCATGACCGTGACGTCATCGACGTTTCTAAATGATTAACTCCTTTAAAACGGAATTTAGAATTTAATTATAAGGAATTACTGTAATATTTTTTCTGTCTATTCGAAATAACCTCAAAATGTGGTACACTATGAAATAACCCACTATGCGGGTTATTCAGTGTGCACCATATTTTTTATGTTATTTCTTCATAGACAGAAAAAAATATTACAGTCATTCCTTAAATGTACTCTTGATCGAATATTTTGTAAATGGCTAAATACTTACTGTTCTCACTTGGTATGCTGCTAAGAATGAAACACGGTTAAAATCACTAAGTTATACATGAAATATATGTTTGCCATATTTGTTGTATGCGTTGTTTTGTTATATTGATTTAATTGTCAAAGTATATTCTTCATATTAAGTTTTGAAATATTTATTGGATAAAACTGACATACAAATACATTATTAGAAACATGTAATTGTAGGCAATTAAATATACGATAGAGGAAGCATTCATCACAAGTGAAAATTTGGCTTTGAAATTCCACTAAAAGTGTTCAAGTACGATTTCGTACGCAAATTTCCAAGTAAAATTATTGTGGATTGTCAATCAGTTTTTATACATATTATCAATATTTTTCGTCTTCATAATACTCATTTATCCTTATATAGACAGATTAATCATTTATTATTTTTATTTTGTACAAAATCTTCAAAATGAAAACAAAATAAAAAAACAGCATCTATTACATTGTCCGGTTGTTCTATTTCAGAATGTATTCTCTTGAACAAATTCCGGAACAGCTTGGTAGCCAAGTTTAACCTTCATGTCATCATCAAAATTTATAAGCTGATATATTTTACAAAGAAATTGTATTTGGTATATGATCTATAAATTCCAAACTATTCAAGGGCCTGTGTTTCTTATCAGGGGGTTGCTAATTACAAGAACATAGTGAACCAAGGATTGCAATGATGATTCAAATGATCAAAATATTATCTACGTCAATCAGGATTATAAGTTTCGACTCGGTTATATTAATGAAAAATACCCCTTGTCCATTCATTCCGAATGAAAAAAGATCTCGGTATTACTATTATATTATTTATTTATGTATGTCTCTGTCCTGAGTGTTCTTGCATTTGGTTGTAATGTATTCCTGTCACGTAATGTTGTCATCTTAGCAATATTTTTAATATTGCCATATAAGCGGGAGGTTTGGCTAGCCATAAAACCAGGTTCAACCAACATTTTAAGATGTCATGTACCAAGTCAGGAATATGGCAGTTGTTATCAAATAGTCCGTTTCTATGTATGTTGTCGTTTGTTTTGTAGCAGTTCAGTGTTTATGTTGTTCCGTTGTTTCCTCTTATAGTTGATATGTTTCCCTCGGTTTTGGTTTGTGATTCGGATTTGTTTCAGTTAAATCGATTTATGACTATTGAACAGCGGTATACTACTGTTGCCTTTATTTACGTCAGGAGACATCATTCCAACGACAAATATTCAAGACAATAAGAAGTCAACACAAAGTCTTTACGACATGTGTCTTATACAATATGGCAAATTTCAGATTTTGATTATGCTGCATTATATGGAAAACATTTTTTTTCAAATGAATTTCGATTCCAATGAAGAACATTCCATAGCGATCAAAAACTGAAATATTCAAAGATGTATTACTGAATTTAGTATAATATTTGGCAACAAACAAGTTCTACTAAAAGAATTTAAACAATCTTAGTGTACCCTGTTTATTTTGGAAGCGATGCAGATGGTACGTTTTTGCATTTGCAATATTTATATGGTACATTTTTCTAAAAATACTTTTGTTTATTTCACCCTGAAATGTAATCTAGAAAAAGCTCATTATTCATTAAAACCATGCAGTTATTCATATTTCTAGAAGGGAAAGCACATGACATCCTTAAATGATCAAACATCACTAAACTTTTTGTTAGTAAAAGCAAGCTGTTTGTTACAAAAAAGTAATCGAGTACACAAATGTAAAATATAATAATATTTTTAATATAGTAAAAAGTAAAATTGAAATCACATATACTGACAAACTTATTATGGAGCGAACCACAATATAATTATTGAACAAACCTATAAACCTTACTTCCTGAATGTGCTTGTGTATTGCAAAATTTGTATTTATAAGTGTAAATTTTTACTTATTGTTTTTGTGGAAATTGCTCTTAATAAGTAATACACACCACTAACTTACTGTAGCATAAATGATCGCTATTTTCTGAGGGATTATATCCACTAGACAAACTCCTGCAAGTAAACGAAGAATATAAAGGAATTTTGAAACATAATTATTATACAGTAAGTTGATACAATAGCTTTGATTCTCAAATGTTTAGGCCTCGATCATCACAGACGGGACATTATATTTTCGAAATACACATCTGTTGTAGTACGTCTGAAACTGTTTATGTTATAACTTCCAACCTCTGTTGGTAGACTATTAGTTAGTCCCCCGGGTTCCACCAGCCTAGTTGTTAGAACTAGGTACTTACATGAATATTCAGATAATGTTTTGTAAATAACTTAATATATTAAAGTCATAATACACACAACAGATTATCATTAAATTTGGAAACAACGAAAGCATGTATTAACAATCGAAATGCTAATGCATATAGCTCATCCGTTTTCAGAAACATCATTGAATGAATTCCGTCAAAACAGATGTGCATGCGCATCGAAAGCACGTACAACTGGTGAAGACTTTCTGCAAACTGTCTAAAAATCATCATATCTCCAGAAACATAGATTATTGATAAATTAATGTTGTTGTTTCATAAATTTCATTTAATTAATATAAAATTTCAAAAGTCAATCAAAACGACGTTTTAAAGGCTGTACGGCACAACAACGATACGCTTATTTCGACTTGTTGTGGTATTTTTTCGCAAGAATACCTTCTTGACTGATGTATATTACAAAAGCGCAGTCAATAACGTTATGATAATTTAATATGCATCTAGTAAACTGAAATTTAGCACAATTTAAGTAACTCTACGGACTAGCTGTTGAGAAAGAAGTTTTAAAGGTAGTTTTGAGAACGTTTTCTGTTGAAATATTCAAACAATAAGAATTGCCATCCCTAAGATATAGATTGCCTTAGTCGTATTTGCCACAACGTTTCGGAATGTTTGGATATGCATGCTCTTCAACTTTGTATTTGATTACAACAGTTTTGATTCGAGCGTCACTCAGGAGTATTATGTAGACGAAACGCTTGTCCGGCGACCCAAATTTCAATCCTGGTATCTTTAATGAGTATTTCCCCAGATTTTGTGTGCATTTGATACTATTTCTATTCTATTTTAATCCTGTACCAATCTTGTGTCAATCTTTCATCAGAAATATGTGCGTCATTGCCAGGATGAAAATGATAAGATGGTGAACGTTTTTCTTCATCGGAAATAGTCGGATACTCAAAGCATGGATCAAATGCTGGAATTTCAAAAATAAATCTTTTATTTTATAAATTCGGATATCAATAATGACACTAACTTACAGAAAAAAATATATATACCTTATATTTTTTTTGCGACACCAAAATGATGTATTAATCCAAAACTAAAAGTTATATATTCCATTTAACAAGTTCATTATGAGAATCATACACTAACGTTTATTCGTATATTAAGATTAGGAAGTGATTAGACAACTTTCATCACTATCTGCCCTTAAGTCAACAGTCAACCGCTCGCCACAAAAACCAAATGCCTCTACATATACAAACAGTACAACTTAATAGTCTATCAATTGAACCACCAAACACAAATAACCCAGAAAGTAATTCACCATGTGATACTAACTTTTAAGACTCTAAGTAAAACCAATATCAGAACAGTTAATATAAAAGTCAATGTCCTTATAAAAATAATGAATAGTTTTACCAAAATTTCTTCAAACAATATTCATACATGGAAACAATGAAGTGAAACCAAATGGGGAGGTGGTGTTTATTTATATATCTTGCACAGGCGAATGGAAGAATTTCAGCAAGGATTTTGTGGGTCCAGAGAGCTTGCTAACATCATACAGAAAGCAACAAGAGATTTAAATGTACATTCATGAAATAATTAACTCAGATAACAAATGCAAATTTTCCTAAAATAAATTGTACAAGGGCAAATTCAAACAAATTAATAACTTTTTTTAAAATCAGAATTGAAAGTCACACATTATACAAATAACATTACTGAATGTATCATAAAAATCATGCAAAAACATCAAACAAGCACCACGATTATCGTGACAATACAGATATATATGACATATGTGATAAAAGGAAGCTCCGGTATTTTTTGAAATAACCAAGAAAGTTAAGCACTGCATTTTAAAATGTTTAAAATTTGCCAAATGGATAAATTTTTCCTCCAATAAATTTATATAAGATGTCCCGAGCTTATACATCTTTTACTTTTCTTTTTCTTTATTGAAGTGTTTAAGCGTGCATTATTATCAGCATATTAACTTTCATCAAATTGAGGTTTTGAGGACTTCGAAAATCAAAAATATAATCTTAAAAAGATAGAGGTACTTACCATTCCCCAATTAATGAAAGCATACTTGAATTACGTAGAAAGTTATCCCACAGCCGGTACAAGAAGAAGGCATGATTTCAAAGTAGACTTTAAACGGAAAGACAAATTACACAACACCTTGAAGACTTACAAATCTACCTTATATAAACATATAAAATTGAAACTAAAATTGAAACTTTTCAAATTGCTGGTTTTTTTTACAAATCAACAGTCACAGCAAGGTGTTTTTTTATTTTTCAATATCAAAAATGGACAAGATAACTCATCCGATAATAAAACATACTGCAGCATTGCACTTCATAACCTTAGATTATATGCATTATGTGTTATAGACTTTCATTATGCGAATCAAATGTCACGTACAAGTATGAAAATATGCACAAGTAATCATTGAAGTTCTATTTATTCACACTTGAAAACTTCCTAGTTCGATTTAACCAATTGAATCTGTTTGGTAAAAAGTGAATTCAAAGCCTTGTATGTCTTTGCTATATTTGTTCAACTGTACTGCATGTACATACTAATGAGGAATGCATTTGAATAATAAGTAGACATTTAAGGCGAACTACGGATTTAATTAGTATGACAGCCCTTTCTAGAGTAGAATGGTATCTATTATTTAAAGTTTGTAATAGAAGTCAGCTTATTAGAATAAATATGATAATAGAGGATAGAAACAACAGTACCATAGAGCAGAAAACATTCCAAGGCCACCAATGGGTCTTCAACACAGCGAAAAAAATGCCTCAGCCGGAGGCGTGCTGTAGTTGGCCCCAAAAAAATAATGTATACTAGTTCAGCAAAAAGGACGCCACACTAAACTGCGAAACATACAATTGAACCAAAAATTGAAAACACACAAGACTTACAAAGGACAGGGGGTCCTGATTTGAGACAGGCACAAAAATGCGGCGGAGTTAAACATGTTTTGTGAGATCTTAACCCTCCCATATACCTCTAGCCAATGTGGAATAAACACACAGCAATTTGCTAAATAAAAGTCAGTTTTAATATAAGTATTTAGAATAGATTACAGGAAAAACAATGATTAACATAAATTAACAAACTACTTCTAGCAGTTACTGACATGCAAGCTCCAGACCTCAATTAAACGGATCAAAAGACTATGTCTTCCTCACATGAAAATCAACCACAATCTCTCCCGTTAGGGTTTTAGTATCATGCCATCATAAATTATACAAGAAAAACATAACCCGTATCATGCCAACAACTGGTTTTAGAATAAATGTGTTTATTTCCGATACAAAGGCCCTATGAGTGAATTTATTTCAATTCCAAAAAATGCCATCTTTAATAACCTGATAACAGTATCTTAACTATGTACTTTGTGAATAAGTCTGTTTAAAGGTTTGGCTACCCTTTGAAGTGAGTGACAACATTTTTGTGCTTTGTATAAAATATTACCATAAAAGAAGGAATGTGAAATAACTGAACGTATAAGATATCTGCACGTTGATGTATGTTTACAAACGATGTCCTTGCACCCGTTGATAAAATTTAGTAAACGTTTTGTCAAGTTTGTGATATCGAAAACCTTGATGTAATATTTTTTTATTAACTAGAGGCTTTTCCCGTTAAGATAAAATACGTTGTTACATACACGAGCGGATCGAATAAGTTGATATATAAAAATACCATATGATGGTGCCAAGGGTACGTCACTATCTTAATCTGGATATTTTACAATTGGAAATGAAAAATCATCTCTCATCGAGATATAATTATCAAGATCCAGGAAATGTTCATTGTTATCATTAGCTATATTTAAAGTAAGTTGAACAAGATCTTTTTAGTGTACGTTCTGAATTCGTTATTATAGAGATTCAAACTATTCAAATATCTAACAGTGTTATTAAACTCTTGATCAGATGTTGTTTCGATGTTTCTTTGTTGATTTTAGAAACGCATTGTGATTCGCAACATTACATTAAGAAGTCCGTAATAAGTGGTGCATAGTTATTTCCATTTCGAATTCCGATAACTTGGCGATATACGGTCGGTCCTGGACGATGTCAAAGTCTCATGTTATAACATAGGAACTGGGGCCATAAATTTATTTGGAATTACTGCCATGACGTAGGTTTATTTTCACTGATATTAACATCTTTACACACCTCGCTATAATTAAAAAAAACATGTTTTCAGGTAGATTTTTGTAGACATAACAAATAAGAGGGAGCTCGGTATTATCAATAAAAATATTTTAATAGTCATTGAAAACTCTTGAAACATTGTATAACATTCGTAATAAAGTTTGAGCTCTTGTACATCAATTTATTCAAATATATAAAAACAGTACCATACTACCTGTCTACCAGTGGATTTTAACAGGAGAAACGCGACGAGTGTCACAAATAGAGGATACGAACTGCTGAGCCTTCTCAGTCAATATATTATGTCCAAGATCTCTGTTCAGTTTCTGGTACATAAGCCTTTTTTTATCTTTATTTGAAAATTCGGGTCTTATTTTGGATGAAACTGTGTTTCAAGTAATAGTATTGAGTAAGGAATAACTGATATATGATGCGGTAAAATTGGTACCATTAATTTTATTATATATCTAATGTTCTGAAGAATGGATTTGAAATGAGAGAAAAGCTACCAAGGATGTATGAAAGATTGTTTGCTTCAGATTAACACACAATATTCGTCGAATTACGCAGCTGGTGTAGTAAAATTGATACCGTTTAATTTTATTTATGATGTACCACATCCAAATATTTATTATTTATTTTTTTCGCTTTTGACTTCTTTCCACGTACAATAATATTAAAAACAGTGTATACAAAGTGAGAATCTAGCTAGTTCATGTTCACTGTCATACGCGAATAAGACTATTGTAGAAAACAAGGACGAAGGGGGAAAAACTGTGTTAACGTTTTGAAAATACAAAATAATTTATTTGAATGTATGTTATAACTGACATTGTGCGTTCTTAAGTTATAAACAACAACAAGCTTAGATAAGCCGATATATGAAATTAAAAATATGCAGATTTATGTATAAAATTTGTATACAATAATGTATTGGACACGTTGTACGCATGTTAAGTCTTCAATATACATTAAATAATATTAAATTTAACTCGAGCTATACTTACGGAATGATAAACGCACGTATGTTTACAAAATTTGGTTACAAAAGCTTCAACAATGCAAACATTCAATAACGTTAAAAAAACAACTGATATATCTGCAGATAGTGAGCATACCTTCCTCCAGAATATACCCCCTACCTAGTTCATTGTAATTATTGTGATTTTCTAAAATAGTCATCAGTTTATGAATTGTTTACTGACCGTTCGCTACGAGTTTTCGTAATAGTACAATCCTTCGTTTGTAAAAACATCGAGAGGAACACATACCGTCTTTTTTTTAAATGCCCATCTTTTTTTTGTTGTAACGACTAAAAACTATTTTGCATTTGTAACATTTCATATTGAAAATTAAAAAAAAATGGATTTTGTATATGATAAACGTAAAACGGAATTTACTGGAGCAAGCGGAGCTCACTCATTGATACTGCCACAAATCTTTGAAGACAAATATTTGAACGTTCTTTCTACCAAATTTGCTTCGATAAGCAGAAACGTCCGGTATTAACTATACGGCGGTTATATCCGAGATATAAAACCATTAAAACTTGTAAAGTCAGGAATATGGCAGTTGTTTTCCACTTGTTCCGTTGACTGATAGCGTTTGATTTTGTTAGCTTTTATGGACTTTCCCTTTTGAATTTTGCCTTGAAATTCAGTATTTTGATATACTTTTTTGTAAATAAACTGTTCTCAATAAGTCAGTGTCCTTAATATTTGTAACAACAACCTTAAACGTTCTTTATTATATAAGATGTATACACTGTAAAATATTCATGTGACATATAAATTATCCAAAGCCATTCAAGCGTGAAATGTGAGTCAATGTGCGCACGAGCTTTCTAGTTGCTTCAATACGTGATGTATAGCACCCTAGATATAAACCCAAAATAAAAAGGTAACCAGTCACTCAAGCGTAAAATGTAAGTCGTTGTGTAAACGTTCTTTATTATCCAAGTTGCATCCATTAATGACGTTTCTCATTAGTATGTGAAGTATAATACCCTAGATGTAGACCGAAACCGAAAAATTAAGCAGAGTTTTCGGTGACCATGGATGTGCTTTACTGTCCAAGGTGTATGTATTCAATAATGAAATGTCATTGAAATGGATAAATTTAACCCTACTTATATATCCAGACGAACTATTAGAAAAATAAAACTCAATACTTTTAGCAATAAATGCTATTTTTACGGAATCATCTTTGTAATTCGTTAGACTTTCATTCAAAAAGTAAGCATTATCAAATATTTTTGACTTTATTTTAGTTTGTGAGCGAGTCGGTTGTATTAAGACTATTTAATTCCTATTATGTTTTTACTAAGATGCACCGCATAAACAATAGAAATTAATCGCCCCTACATTGAAAATGAAGTATTGTATCATTATTCAATAGTAAACAAGAATCGCTTAACGAAAGCAGCATAGTGGAATTTAACTCAATATCAACAAAATGAATGAAAAAATCTGGTTTAGGTTATAAAGCATAAATGATTATTTTAAAAGGAATATTTTTCTGAATATAAAACTTTACTACTGCTTTTAAATCTCATGCACGCTCTGTTCCGGAAATATTCTTAATATCTACATATTTGTGTATCGATTTCACACAGGAGAAAACTGTAGGCGCGATATAAACCCGTCTGCATCTCTTATCTGTATCATGACTCTATCAAACAATACATTTGATTTTTTTTTTTTTAGTTTTTTCATCAATGTTTTGTCTGTTGATGTATCATTCTACATCAGAAATTCATGACAAATACAGTAAAAAAGGTATTTCAGGATTCGCACACTGAAAAACCATTAATCAAAAATGTATGATGTAAAACAAATAATGTGTGTACCAGTTTGTACTAAATATATATCCACTGAGTCTCTTTACTTATAAAAAAATTTAAATAATAAAGAAATCAATGTTTGATTTAAAATTAAATAACGTTTAGTACGTACTATAATGTATTCAGGTTTCCTGGTGAAAAATAAAACATGGAGACAAAAAATATCGTATTTGTTTGCATATTGATTGTATTACGTGTATGCTTAGCACTGAATCCAAATGATGACGGTAAGTAAAAACAGTTTTCCTTAATTTTTGTGTTAATTTGTTAATTTATGAAAATTCTATTTCAAATTACAACATCCCGATTTGCAATTTTATATAATCTCATTACAGTGTTTGTATTTCATACACCTTGAGGGCGTTAATAAATTAGGAGGGGTTCTTTTAGGGATTTGACCATATGTTATTAAAAAACATGACAAATTTCATTTAACGACATCTTGGTGTAAATATAAAAGTAGTTCATACTTATCATATTTTTAATTAATTCTTCACGATCTAAATTCAAAACCAATTGGTGGAAATATTTGTTTCTTTTTCAATTTCGCTAATGTAACAAAAGCATTTTCATATCTAGTTAACCCACTTCATTTGGAGATAATGAGGTAGCAGTTTTTTGGACATTTGTAGTGCAAAGTTACACCAATTTTAAGAGCAGTTGTTTTGAAATTTGAATGAATTACAACATTAAGTATGTCCTATAGTTGCTCT